ACACGGCGTCTGTTTACACAGTAAGTCCCACCCTTCAAGAAAAAGAGCCAATCAGAAAGCCCTCCCTCGTTGTCGAGATCTGATTTCAAATATGTTTATAAAATGGTAGTTTGGCCTTTGGTTTTGAGTTTTTGTATGTCTTATATGTCTCGGAATAACTGCCCAGCGGTGTTGCAAAGTTGGCAACCAAGTAAACAGATCTTCCTATAAGGACTTTGGTTTAAAAATTCCTAACTTGAGATAAGATGCTGTAAGATAAGAAAAGATAGCTAAATTAGGATTAGATTTGCTTCGGTAACACGAATTTCTAAAAATCTTATCTTGACCTGTCAGATCGTAACTTAAGACAATAAGATGTTTCTGTAATACGGCCCCAGATCTTTGAATTGTCTGAGTTCTTTGGAGAACCCCACCCCCCTTCACTCTTCACTACAATAGAAATGTGTGAATAGGAACAATTATTTGAAATGAAATTTTGCTACACTCCTAAAAAAATCAAGGTTTTAAGAAGCAATGCCATAAAAGAACTGCTTTTGTTTCCCTAAAAGAGCCTTTCAGCTGTTGTAAATCACATGTGAAAGTGAAGAACCTTCAAAGAACCTCCACATATTGTAAAAGTTCTAAGAAGAACTTTTGAATTGGTATACTATTACATTATGGGGAAGTTCTTTAAAACTTTAAAATGGTCTTCATTTTTACAAATCTGTTTTTTCAAATTTGATTGTTTATGGAATCAAAAATTCTATATTTCAAATGTTCTTCTATATTTCAAAGAACACTTTGCGGCATGTTCATTACAGTTAGTAACAGTTCCTTAATGGTTCTTGGTTTGAATGTACAATTCTAGGGAAAAAAAAACTTTAATTGGTATAGAATCTTTTCATTATGTGGAGGTTCTTTAAAGAATTATAAATTTAAAAGTCAAAATTTCTGCAGAATTCAGTCGTTGAGATGTAAACAAAGTCAAAGAGTGGCTTGATTTGAAATGCATCATTGTAGAGATACTTGCCAGCTCAGATTTCTTTACAGTGGTGGTGATGGCAACCAGGGGTCACAATGACTACAGCAAAAAATAGGGTCATTTTATTTACTATTCAAGATGATCAGTGAACTTACATGCCCAAGTTTTTAGACAAAATGTTAATTATGGTTAAATAATGTTAAATCTGAATAAATACATTTTCTTTGGGGTTTTCTTTGATGCCTTGCAACACCCTGCATGTACCCCTCCACCATGAATGGATTTTTAAAAATAGGTTTTAAGGCTTTTCTCAGGACTACAGTAAAAGAATGTCAACATCAGGCAATTCATTTGTCTTTTTCAGTAATAACTTTCTGTGAGGGTGCTTTAAGGGGCATTAAACTCATTGGATGTCTGATTCCTATCACCACCACTGTGAACAAATCTGACTTGGTACTATGGAGTTAGAGTCATGCCATTATAAATGTGAATTTCAATGTAAAATTTGAACTTGAATGTTATTGCCTGCAAGACAACTGAACGTTATTTTGAAAGTAAATTTGAAAATGAGAAATAGTAGAAAAACTAAATGCTCAAAATTGCTCTTACAGACCTTGCATTTCAGTTAAGAATTCAATTTCAAATTGAGTGATACAGAAAATAATATTTCAGATTTTTGCATTTAAATTCAAATTTCTAATGGCTCCACAGGTACATTTCTCTAAAACAAAGCATTTGTCACGAAACCACTCTGCATGACATTATTTACATTTTAAGGATGGAATTTTGCAGAAAATGATAAAAATGTGTGCAATTTCCCTTCAAGATTCTATGAAAATATTCATGAATATTCAGTATAAGGTCATATATCGAATAGTCAAGCTTTTCCTGCAACCATCACAGAGTCACTCTATGGCTTGCAGAGGCCTACTTCATCATGATGCAGCATGATCCTGCCACGTTTCTGAACACTGATCGTGCTTTATTCCTGTTCCAGAGATGGCTGTGGAATTGATGAGTGTTGTCTAAAAGGGCGTAACCAGCTCCTCCTTTGTGTTGCTTTTAATTCATCTTCGAGGCTGCACACTGTAGGAAACCGTAACTCACGCACTGATGGAAACCAACACCCTCGACTGACCATTTATCAATATTATATCACATTTCACAACATGGCCTGTCAAACATCAAGTGAATTATATATGTGCGGTCAAATTGGCCATGAGGGTCTCGAGTGGAGCTCCACAGATGACACGTAATGACGGCATTCAGGACGCAGTGCCGGACATCCCTGCCTGTAATACATCACCACAGCGTCTGCTGAGCCAGGATCAGCTGCTGCCAAGCATAGTATTGGTGTAATGACAACGTATTTGGAATGCTGTCAGTCCTGATGGTGTCCTGCGGACGGTCTCATTGAGGTTAACCCTATAAAGCCAACAAGTAAGTGTGGCCTACACTTCAATAGCCGTCTTCTACCTATGACCTAATGGTCTGAGACCACTAGTGAAAATGCATCTATTTTGCATTCTCTTCTGATTTAACACCAATTTTTTCATTACAAATGATATTATCACCATAACAAGTTAAATGTTTGAAATATTTATACGAATTACAGAATTTCTTAGTATTTGGTATCTCAGTTTCACATATTTGCTTAAATGTGAATAATGACCTTGAAGCAGAAGTATCTTGTTTGTTTTACTCATCATATTTTTTTTTGTTTATTTTCAGGTTTAAATTTTTAAAAATCACAGATTTTCAGTGTGATCTTTTGGTCCCCACTATAACATTATTGATACAAAAGACCTTAGCTTTGTAAAAAAAAAAAAAGAAAAAAATCTTAACTTTTAATGTAAGTTAAAGGTTTTCTTCCTATTTTAAACCATTTTTTTTGGCCCATTTTGCCCATTTGGCATTAAATATTTACACAATATAAAGAGCAGCTGGTGTTTATGGGTGCGTGTGGCTTTGATATAACAGCAAGGACATTAGTATCATAGTAGTTACTGATTAAAACGTCTTTAGATTAATAACTGAATATATGCATGCAGTTTTAAGGGGTCAAAGGACATCACCATTTATTATTGTGCTTCTGCCATACAGAAAGCTTTAGCACCCCCTAGTGTAGACTAAAGATGATTAGATGATTAGGATTTGCACAGTGAAGCAAGGCATAAAAAGGTGTGTGATCTGTGCTGTTTTTCATTCCATTCTGATAAATGTGTTATATAGAGGAGATGTTACACACAATTGCATGTTTCTTTATTCCAGATTGTCACTGAAAAGTGAAGTAAGCACTATTTTTTCAGTAAAGCTAAAAATAATAGCTTCAGATTTCAGGGTGTCAGTGTGGCAAAATGTCATCCAGGAATTGAGGCCTGTGGTTTGAGGCCTATGCCTGTGGGCGGAGGGGCATATTTTGCATTTGATTGCTGTTTACATGAAAAGATGTGTGGTTACATTAAATGGAAACTAATTTTGCTGGTTCAAATTACGGTTTGGATGGAAATCATGGCATTTTAACCGCAAAGCATGTCCACAATACAAATTTCATTTGAAATTTAATCTTTAATTAAAGTCTGTAATGCACTTTAAGTGCATCAGATTTTCAAATCAGAGGAATTTACTTGGTGAAACAAGATAAATAATATAAGGCACATGATAATTTGCCAGTTTTGCATTATCATTAGGATGAAACTTAGTGGAGCTATCAATAGATTGCACTTTAAGCAAACATGCTCTAGAGCAGTGGTTCTCAGTTCTAGTCCTGGAGTGCCACTGCTCTGTAACACATAAGGAACAACAGGAAGAACTTGTAATGACTTCATTAGTTAGGAGCAGAGGAATCTCCAGAATGTGCTGTCCAGTAGAACTCCAGGACCAGGATTGAACCACAACTCCATAGAGTATATTTCCTCAAAGCCTTAAAGGCATATTCCAAGAAAATCAAAGACTTACCATGATTGTTAGTACAGCGCAGGAGATGCTCAGCAAATGTTAGACCAACATGACCATTACATTTTAGTAAATTATGGTTTTAAAAATAGTCTAGAATGCTAAAGAAAGATGTGGGGTTTACGCTTCACTTATCCGTGCAAGTGAAAACATAAATAAGCCCATTGCATAAAAACACAGCAGGTTGGAAAGGGCTTTTGATGGATGAAAGACGTGCATCTAGCAAAGCTGGTATGGATACCAACACCAATATGAATTACAATAGAGGCTTACCTGTCCATCAGACAGACAACTAAAAAAATACTTCAGAAATGCATGTGGTATAAATTGGTCTTAATGCAATGTTGTTGGATAGCTCAACACTGTGGAGGAAATTGGAGGAAAACGCTACGTTCTGCCAGTTCTATTCATCAACTAAGAGACCTTTGCGTTTACTACCACAGCTATGGACATCTGAAGTCATGTGTCATTCTTTAGTCAGCCAGATTTCTCTGAATGGGATTTTTGAAAATCAACACTATCATGCCCTGTGATGCTCGACAAGATTCCAAACCTGATATGCTTTGTCCTAAATACATTTTTTCCACTGAATGTCACTGGATCCTCTGAATTACATGGTTTGACTCTGCATTGCTCTGTTGGACTTACAGACGGCTGTGGCATCACATGAAATTGAACTCGGGATTTCACCACAATAGGGCCAATGCTTAGGAAGGGCCAGAACCCTGGTGTCTTTTATATTGTGAAATCAGGGCTTCTAAGGTAAGATTTTAAAGTGAAACCTCCTTCCATAGAGTCAGCATGCATCCAGTTTCAGGTTTACAATAGTGTTGTAAACTGCAAACATAACAGTTCAATGGTCGTTAGGTTATAAAATGAATTGTGAGTATTATTACTGAAAATTCTTAGCATAACATCTTTATTTATCTATTAGTATTACTAGTTGGATACTGACCACAGCATTCTGACCACATTAACATCAGTTCATGAGTCCTAGACAAGCTACAAATTTATGAAGTTCTAAAATTATATACATTCTGTTCTTTATCAGGTCATATCATTAAAAAAAATATGACATCCGTTGTAGAATACTTCATCTTTTTATTAGCAGTTTATTAAAGTAAACAAAATTTTTCAGTCTCATGAAAGTCAATGGGGTGTCTTTTTATACAGACTTGTTTTGGTGAGGTGTTTTTACACAAAATCTTTGCAAGAAAATCCCCAAATCCTAAAAACAATCTGGAATATCAATGTTTTTAACAAAAATGTAAGAATATTTTACTAATATTAGTAGTGTAAGTAGTGTATTGTTAGTTAGTTCATAGGCTGTGCCCTCAGAGGTCACCACTATATCTGTCCGTCCAGTAAGGTCTGTTTCTCTTTAGTGCATGATGATATTAAAACACACTTTGTTCTGTCTCGTACTACCTTTAGGAAGCTCATGATTCCTGACCCACCAGTCCCTCTCTCCTCCAGTGAGGTTGGTGCTTTACCCACTGTGTCGTGTTCCTCCAGTGATGCTGAGCCACCGGTGCGGAGTTTTTTGGCACGGGCCGCTGGGATGCTGATGAAGCGTGAAACTATGTTAAGGTGGTAATTGCGCAGCGCCACCAGCCGATCCACACAGCGCTCAAAACCTTCTGTTAGAGACTCATCCCCTCGTTTTAGCACAAAGTCCCGCAGGGAGGGCATGCAGGAGATGTCCTCGATGAAGCGTTTGTGAGAAGGAGGCATGTAGCTTCGCATTCGGGTGAGGAAAGCACCTGGGCAGACAGAGAGCATCCATGCATATTAATGCTTAAACCCAGATATCTGGAAATGCTTTGTAGTCAGTGAAACTAATAACTGTTGGAGTCTATTTGATAGCTGCATTAATGCAATTTTCAGATTGAAAAAGCAAATTTGCTGTCCTGTTCTATGTCCCATGAATGTCTCTGGAAGGCAGTTTTTTACACATTAACTTGCTTTGGAATACTATAAACACCAAAATCATTTTAAACAACTCTGGAAAGTTCAGTAAAGTTCAGTCAGTATTTTGTAGGTGTCAATTTGACTCTTTTGCTATTTAACTGGTAAACATGATTCACTTTTCACCACATAAAATGAGATTTTAATTAAAATATGTTGTGACATAGTAATTATGGTGGGTGTCTCATTTGACATTTGGCACTTCTGGCAACATCTGTATAACACATGTTGAAATTCCGATGTACGCAAACTGCAGTTTGTGAACTTAAATGGGTTTAAATGTGTCTCCACTCATTATCTAAGCCGCTTATCCTCCTAGGTTGCGGAGGGCAGGGGGATGGGGGGGTGGAGCCTATCCCAGCACTCATTGGGTGGAATGCAGGAAACACCCTGGTCAGGTCACCAGTCCATCACAGGGCACACACACAGACATACACAGTCACACCAAGGAGCAATTTAACATCTCTAACTGACCTAACTACATGTCTTTGGACTGTGGGAGGAAGCTGAAGCACCCAGAGACACAAGAAGAACACGTAAACTCCACACAGAGAGGACCCTGGTCGCCCAGCCAGGGAATCTAACCTTCTAGCTGTGAGGTGACAGGGCTACCCACTGCACCAGCATGCCACTGGTTTTATGTTCCATCAGCATAAAATCCTTTCATCATGTTCTTCACAGCCAGTTGGCCTGGTTCAATCCTTAAACCCATTTGGCATAACAGGACTTCTCAGTATTGCTTTCTCAGGCTATATCATAAAAAACACAGAATTGTTCCCACTTTTGTGCTTTGTGAATGTGTGTAGATTATGTTCTTAGCTAAAAACAAATCCCAAATAAGAAAACATTGGTGAATGTCAGAGTCTTCATGAAAACTGCGTAAGTGGGTTTTAAGAAGAAATTTTTTTCTTAAGAACAGGTGGTACATGTGGCTCATGATGTCAGCAAAAACTTCATGTCACTTTAAGCAGCACTGAAAGTGTTCTCAATATTCATTTATTAATTCATTCATCTTCTTAAACTGCTTAATCCAGTTAGGGTCGTGGTAGAAATAGCAAAAGAGAGACGACCCTGTCCGTCACGACTTCCTCCAGCTCATTCTGGGGGATCCCAGATCCAGCAGGTCCTAGGATGACCTCAAAGTCTTGTACCAGTCGACTGTGCCTGGTAAACCTCCAGTGGGATGCTGAGTATATAAACACAGCTCTCACTTTGGGCATACAAAGAACGACAGGCCCAGAGTAGTGGCCCTAGCACCCCATACTCCCAGAGGACCTCCCACAGAATATCTCGGGGAACACAGTCATAAGCCTTCTCCAAGTCCACAAAACACATGTGGACTAGGTTGGCAAACTCCAATGCCCCCCTCAACAATCTGCGCAAGCGTGAAAAGCCGGTCCATTGTGCCACGGCCAGACGAAATCTGTGTTGTTCCTCCTCAATCCAAGGTTTGACTATTGGTTGGAGTGTCCTTTCCAGCACCTTGGCGTAAACTTCTCTAGAGAGGCCGAGCAGTGTGATACCCCGGTAAGTGGCGTGCACTCTCCAGTCCCCTTTCTTAAAAATAGGGACCACCATGCAGTCTGCCAGTCCAAGAGTACTGTTGCCAAGGTCCATGCAACATTGCAGAGGCGTGTCAGGCATGACAGTCCCACAAGATCCAGAACCGTAAGCATTTCCAGGCGAATCTAATCCACCCTCACTGCCTTGCCACCAAAAAGCTTGCCAACTACCTCAGTGACCTCCCTCTGGGAAATGGAGTCTGACACCTCAGAAGCCTCTGGCCATGAGGGAGGCATGTCTCTCAGGTCCTCTAGAGTGCTCCTTCCAACGGCTGACAGTATCCTCATTTGTGTTGTGTATCCTCCGTGTGTGTTGTGCTGGTGGAGTGGATCAGACACAGCAGTGCTGCTGAAGTTTTTTAAACACTTTTGTCCACTTACGGTCCACTCTATTAGACACACATACCTTGTTTGTCTGCCTTGTAGATACAAAGTCAGAGACAGTAGCTCATCTGTTGCTGCATAATTTGTGTTGATGATCCTCTAGTCCTTTATTAGCAGTCATAGGATGCTGCCCACAGAACGCTGTTGGCTGGATATTTTTGGTTGGTGAACCATTCTCAGTCCAGCAGTGACACTAAGGTGTTTAAAAACTCCAGCAGCACTGCTGTGTCTGATCCACTCAGACCAGCGCAACACACACTAATACACCACCACCACGTCAGTGTTACTGCAGTGCTGAGAATGATCTAAATGACCCAAATACCTGTTCTATGGTGGTCTTGTGGGGATCCTGACCATTGAAAAACAAGGTAAAAGGGGGCTAACAAAGTATGTAGAGAAACAGATGGACTACAGTCTGTAATTGTAGAACTACAAAGTGCACCTATATAGTAAGTGGAGCTGCTAAAATGCACAGTGACAGTAGATACAAGGTGTTAATGTTATGGCTGATCAGTGTAGATCTTACAGTAATTTGCTATAAAAATCCCAGGCTTATTACATACTAAGCCTTATTATTCAGTAACTACAGGAATTTCAGTGCAATCTGGCTGAGTTATTTTTAGGTTATAGAAGTACGTAATAAAACTTTGGGCCCTGGCCATTTAAGAGGTTGATTGTGCACCCTTTCTTACCGCTCTTTTCCTCATGTTTGACTCCCAGTAGCTCATCGAAACAGTGTAACAGGCTACTCTGAGCTGCACTCCCACCGGAAAACTCCAATGGCTCAGCCTGAACCCCTTCATATACCAGCCCCTCCACCATGGTCGGGTTGTCTTTCCAACTGAAACATGCATACATATCCATGAAACATATCCAAAGTAAGGACACACAGGTGATGGAAGAAACTCCTAACAGGCCAATAGCCTTAATAAAGTAAAAGTGGTGTTCTTCATTGTACAAGTTTCAGTAGAAAATAGCTACTGAAATGATGGCAATACTTATAAAATAGCAACAGTCAACAGGATTTATTGCTTCAGCCCATGCTGCCTTTGCGAGCACCTACAACCTTGGTTTGTGTGAGAGCAACTACTTGTATGCATGTCCAACAGAAATCGTCAGGGCCCTCTGGGCCTTGTGTAACTTTGTTGGTACGTTTTAGTAAATTTCTATTTAATGTAATCATTATGCTTTATTAAGTATTTAAACTATCACAGTATTGTAGTAATACTCTTATTGCATTGTAAACTTTTGGATGGAAACCAAAATTCCTGAAATGCACCAACGATAAAACTGTCCAATCAGGATTTTTTTTCTGTGGTATCTAGCCAGATACAGCTAAGCGAACTCTCCTATTGGTTGGGACTTCAGGAGCTGAAGTGAAGGCCTAAGGCTGGCCTTACACAGTGAAATTTTAATGCAATTTTAGTTGCTTGAAACCCACATGAAAATAAATGGCACTTGAATATTGGATAACGTAAAGCATCCTGCAACTCATAGAAACTCAGCCGCAACAGAAGCAAGCATCTGAACTTCATGGAACAAGCTTTATGAAACAGCCAATCAAAACGCAGATAACATCATGTGATCATGTCAAACATCATTTCAAGGGACTGACTACAAACAGAGCTGGCTTGATGGACAAGAAAATGAAGAAGATGGTCTTTGGACACTTGAAAGGACTGAGTTCATGCAAGGTTGGTAGTTTTTCATTTCATCAGTTAACCAAACGAGAGTTTCTACAAGCTTGCGTTTCCGTAAGCTGCTGAGTTAACTGGCCAGCTAAGGGTAACAGCTGTTTGAACACTCGTTTAACTCAGTTAACAGGCATAATTACAAGTGCTCGTACTAATACGAGTAATAGTTCTCTTCCTGCTTTCTGATTTCAAATGACAATGACGGCTGGAAAAAATATTCAAAGATGATAAAAATACTATTAAATATTCATGTGTAGATAGACTACCTGTCCCAGATGAGTTTACATTGCAAGGAAAACATGATAGATCAAACAATATGAGCTATTTTATTTGGCTAACTAGTGGAGTAACTGAATATGTTGTGTGCGATTTTGTTCTTGAATTGCTTTTTGCCACTGTCAAATTGTACAAAAATTAGGTTGCAGAGCTATATGCCAGAACTGCTACAAAGTAAAATATATGTCTTCAACAAGCTTTAAATAAAATTATGTAATATCTTTTATAAGCTTCCAATGTCTTTGTCCTAGAATGCCAAAAAAAATCATGCGAATCTCCATTAGCTTAGTGCTAACAAAGTACTAGAATGAAATAGGGGTGCCAGCAGAAATTAGCATCATCGCAGAAGTATGTTTTTTCCTTGTGAGTTTTTAGATTTATTTCCTTAACTGAAGGCCTAGCACTAATAGTCATGGTTCACCAGTTCTACATCAGGAATAAATAGATGAGTTTAAGGAAGGTTTAATTTAATTGTGATTTAATAGTTTTAATAAATTGAATACATTTCTTTCCTTGTAGGTTTTCAGAAAGACAAGGTGGCCTACATTCACACATATACACAGTCATACAGACTCACTCAGACACAGTGCCTTGCCAGAAATACATAGGTCAAATAAAACCTTACTTACCCAGATAGAAAAATCCTCATAATGCCATAGAATACAGATGGATCCACATAAACTGAAACACAGAAGTCTTTTTCATTATTTTTCACTACAATGCATAAACTGCTTTTATACGTCTTTCATCACTTTCTATGTAACACTTCATTTCTCATGTAAGGAAACTGCCTTTGTCAACTCCTAATGTGGCACAGCTCTTCATAATGACCACTGCGTTACCGTGCATTAGTTTGAGAGTCTCTTTAATGCTGTCTATGGCTTGACTGAGCACATCCAAAGCTTTGGTCACCACAGCGACGTCACCATCATAAACACCACTGATCACTTCAGGGATGGCCTGAAATATGGAACATCATCATCTTTAGTCAATGTAGAGTTCACTAAGCTTAAGAACAGAAGTGCATTGGCACGGAGTAATTCACTGGTGGGAAATGACTTAAAGGGCCCATATCATGATACGTAATATGTAAACATTCACTGTCCAGTCCATATGTGGAAACTAAGCTGCAAAAACAGCCCGTTCAGAGTTCACTCCTTCTATGATGTCATGAGAACTGATTAACATCTATTTGCATATTTAGCCTACAGCGGTTTAGCCCCGCCCATTCACATTGAAGTTCTAAGCTGTGTTTTTTGAAGCACTTAGCACTGCTGTGTCTGATCTACTCATACCAGCACAACAAACACGTTTTTTTTCCCTTAGGACATTTGTGTGGTTTAATATACAGCAAACAAACATTTTATTTTTACTCGACCATTTCCAAGTCTCTCTTTATCTTTTAGAATTAAACAGGCTGCTTTTGTTTCTGTGATTTTAAGACTGACACACGTGAAATATCAATGTTCTGATTGGCTGTCCTGTATTGTACCTCATTTAAGAAGCAGTCTAGGCTGAAACACTCCTTATAACTTCAGCATGAATGGGCAGAACTAAACTGCTGTAGCCTGAATATGTGGATGTTTGTAAATCTGTGACACCAAAAAAACAATAAATTCAAAACTAGAATTCTTGTCAGCTTAGCTCTTTAAATGGGTTCAGAAGTGAATGACATGTTTTGGAATTTTAACAGTGTTTACATTGCAATTTGCACAGTGCTAATGTATATGCTTCCTTCACTTGTTAGCTGCATTAGCCTCGCAGCTCTATTCAGAACCAAAGAAGCAAACTTCAGATACCAGGTCTTGAGAACTAGCTGATGAGTCGAATCAGATGTGTTCCAGCAGGAAACAGACTGAACAGACATCTTGCGAGTTTGTGTTTCTGTTGGTAAAATTGGTAACACTTTATTTGGATAGTCCACTTTAGATGCTTTAAAGATACTTAATTCACTTTCAGGTTACATTCAACTAAATATCTACTAAATTGGCCATAATTTTCTTTTAACTCTAAACCTGGCTCTAATCCTAACCCTACCCCTTACCTCAACCCAAAACCTGACCCCACCACTGTTCAGAATCAACTGAGTCTCAAAAGATCTGTTAACAATTTGAACATCTGTAGATAATCTATAGTGGACTACAGCGGACTATCCAAATAAAGTGAGACTTAAAAATGTAATCACTAATATCTAATGTTATGTTTTCTGGAGACATTTAAAAGTGCCAGACCTTCAATCCAGGAACAGCGGCCAGTTCCACCATCAGAGTGACCAGGAAAAAGCCTCTTGCACTCTCCCCACCTGGCAGGCTAAACAGCAGCTCCAGATTCCTTATAGGACACAACATATACACCTATTACTGGCTATCGGCTGATCTCTGTATTCCAGACATCATCGCTTTCAGTCCTGGAGGTCCTTCTTCCAGCACGGTTTGGTAAATTCACACCTGATTCAACATATCAGGTAATTTTCAGGTTTAGTAGGTGTGTTACAGCAGGAAAAACACCGAACTGTGCTGGATTATGGCCCACCAGGTCTAGAATTGATAACTTCTTATGTATTCAATGCAGATTTATTCAGAATTATGAAAAGATTTCAGTTGCAATTATGATCCTCCATTCTGGAGAGGATATTACATTGTAATGATCAGCTGCTACAGTAATATCTTATGGTAATAAGATGGCTCCCTCTACTGGTCACCTTCAATCACAGATCATAATGATTTATTTAAAGGGAAAACTTACTCAATGTCCATTGGGCTGGAAACATCAGGGGTCCATACATGAAAAAAACACACGGAACATTAAATGTTACAACTCTGCTGTAGAACTTTAAAAATCAGCATTCTACAAGACCACATTCATTTACTGGCCACTTTATTAGAAACCCCTCTCTTGTAGCTCTATCATGCTGGTGTACAGTTAAAGAGCCACTCCTGGGTGGATATTATTGGGTGGTGGTTCTCTCTCAACCTAGCAGAACACCACTGTGTCATACCAGCAGCACACGAGAACGGACCAGCCACCCAAACAATATCTGGACAACAGCAGTCCTGTGGTCAGAAACTGATCAATGATTAACAAGTTAGAGTTGAAACGTTGTTAATAAAATCAGGTGGGCTACAGTCTGGAATTGTGCACCTGTATAGAGAACCTATAAGTTCTGTGGAGCTCAGTAAGTGAAATCAAAGGCAGGGGGTTTTAATTCAGTGGATGGTTCAATATTTAGTATTATAATATTTTTCAGGAGATTCACTTTTGGTGTTTTAAAGAAATCAACGCAGATATTTTACACACCTCCAAAGTTCTTAGAATTTGGTCGCACTTTGTGCTTCTCACAGAAATACCTGCAGATTTTTTCAGATCTGAAGTAAGAGTGGAGCTTGATTTTCTCCTCTCTGTCAAAGATGAAAGATTTAAGTGCTGTTTATTAAATGGGGACCATTTTGGGGGTCTACCATGTCTTGCAGGTGGTTCTTAGGAGTCCCATTTTCTCTGTAACTTTTAATAATGTTTTGAACACCATTATTTTTACTTTTATTACGCAAGTAGATTATCTTTTATCTAATCTCCTTAGAAATATTTCCTGAAAAAGAACTTTTTGACTTATAATAATAAAGTGAGGTCTCTGACTTTTGCCCAGTACTGCACAGTAGGTTTAAACCATGTTACTACCCTAAACTAAATGTGATTTTGTTTGAAACAGTGCACCATTGGTGGATGTGCTACAGATTCTTGTCTGAGAGTAATACACTCCATACCCATCTGGGTCTCTTTTCCTCCAGTTGGCCAAAACCCCATCAGCGTGAGTGAAAATGGGGGGTAAACCCAGCTTCTGAGAGACCGCCCAGAGCGGTACCGCCAGGTTCTGAGGGAGAACCTAACACACACAGAGAAACACACCTGACATTTTAAATCAGTCTTCTGAATAGCTTTATTAAAACTATTGATCAGCTTAGTTTAGTCAAAAGGTATTGAGTAACACTTTGATTGAACCCTGGTACACAACGTAGACCTAACCATGAATGTCATAGCAGATGTCATATGCTGTTATGAGATGTCATGACAGATTTTGTGCAGTAATATAATACCATTACCGGTAATTTAATTACAGAGATCGTAAATGTGATCATGTCAGGCATTATTGGTGATTAGATTAGCTGTTTGATGAAGGTTTAAAATGTTACATCTGAGTTTCAAATGAGTTGCAGGGCGCTTAACATTATGCAAATCAAGTGCAATTTAATTTCATATAGGTGCTTCAGGGGTTCTTTAGTCAAGAAAATGGTTCTATATAGAACGATGAACACTCAAAGAACCCTTTTGCATGATTAAATGGTTCTTTGCATGGTGATATTGTTTTTCAGAATAATGGAGACTATGCTGTATATGGTTCTATATAGAACCCTTTTTGAAAAAGGTTCTATATAGCACCAAAAAGGGTTCTGCTATTTTTACAATCTTGACATCGTAACAATAGAAGAACCATTTTAAGTGCTATATAGAACCATTTTCAAAAAGGGTTCTATATAGAACCATATACAGCATAGTCTCCATTATTCTGAAAAACAATATCACCATGCAAAGAACCATTTAAGCCTGAAATGGTTCTATATAGAACTCATGGTTCTAAATTGAACCATTTTCTTTACTAAAGAACCCTTGAAGAACTATCTCTTTTGAGTATACTTACATAAAACACATAAAAACAAAGTTACATTTGTGAGCTATAAGTAAAATTAAGCATATTTAAAAACTACAGATATGGTTATTATTATTATTATGATTATTATGACATGGCTCAGCATAACAATAGTCATAATGCAATATGCAAGCTTGAAGTGTCTTTGCCACTGGCAATATGTGTTATAAACACTGCTTATAATGAATTATGATCATTCATTATGCATAATAAACATTTTAAATGTGTATAAAGTGTAATGCATTTTTTTTCATTATTTATAGCCACATTTATAATGTGTTATGAAAAAACAGTTTTTGTCAATGTGTTCACAGAAGTTTGCTTGCCTATCGTGATGCCTAAGTAGAGGACATATATCCCAGGCCACAATCACACAGTGGGTAAAAGTGGCCCAAATCCAACTTTCTCAACAAATCAGAGTTTTTGGTTTGGCTGTTCACAATATCTTTTCAGTGTGATCTGTGTCCGACATACAGATCACACTCCTTAACTGACCTGCATGCACAAAAGAACAATCCTTCATGTGACGCGCTCATCCTGTGGTAAACAATCAAAATGTCAACACTAATGTCCTCTTCGCCAGCATTACAAGAAGTTACCAGTATTCAAGAAGCTCCAATGGCTAACAGTTGGGCTTATTACGCCGAAAGCGTTCAAGCTCGCTGTAAAAAGGGCATGTTATTCGAACCACGGCCACTTCTTTGGTTTATGTCCTCGGTTTCCTAAAACTTTGCTTTCAGACTTGTAACTTTTTAACACTACAGCCTTGTTCTCCTGTGGCCACTTTCATCCATTTATTTCAAAATCTCTTCAAACACAGAATTATTGTCTAGTCAAGCCAAAGTTTATTTATATAGCACTTTTTACAACAGTGTTGCCACAAAGCAGCTTTACAGAAAAATCCGGGTCCAAGCCCCCATGAGTGTCGTCAATGGCAACAGTGGCAAGGAAAAACTCCCTAAGAGCAAGAGGAAGAAACCTTGAGAGGGACCAAGACTCAGAAGGGGAACCCATCCTCCTCTGGTTGATACTGGATAGCAAACAGCATTAGTATAAAGTATTATAGTACAAAATGGGAAAACAGGTGGAGCAATGTGGCAAGGGCCTCACTGTCCTGCCACTGAAATCACCCCTAACTGTTGTCATCCATTTTTCCTTCTCAGCAGCGTGAAATTAAAACGAATGTCAAGATGGATTGACATAAGTGACGCATGAATTCCGATCTGGCTAATCAGGCTTAGTCGCATTGCTGCATATCAGATACGATTTCAGTACCACATGTGAAAGTGTCTCAAAAGCTGAAAGCTACAGATTCATTGTGTTTTCGACTGAACACAGCCTAACAGATAACACATCTATGACGTGTTCGAAGAAAAAGATTGGATTTGGGCCACTTTTACCTGCTGTGTGAATGTAGCAATAGTGAATATTTTAAGTTCAGCTTACTCAAAGGTTGTAGGTTCAAAGCCCAGGTCTGCTAAGTTGCCACTGTTGGGCCCTTGAGCAAGGCACTTAACCCTCTGTGCTCCGGGGGCGCCATATCAGGGCTGACGATATGCCCTGGCTGACGATATGCGAAGAAAAGAATTTTGCTGTACTGTTCAAAGTGTATAAGTGTAATGCAATAAAGATACTTCCAAACAAAAAAACAAAAAAACAGTAAACATGTTTGCCTCTGCATAAAGTGATATTGCTTCATTTTTTGATTTTTACTCCCCCCCTTAATTTGGCCATTGCTAATTCCCACCCACAGGCTATGACTCCCTCTGTCATGCATCTGGAGGATGCTGGGATTCAAACTCATGATCTTTTGACGATTACATGACGAAGTTCAAGAAAGAATTTAAAAGATGAATTAATTAGGGCAGTGTGCAGAGTGACCTGTGATTAAACAGTTTTTCATGCTCACACAGAGAAGAAATAAATTATTTAACATTTTTATAGTTCATTTCATGGCTTCAAAGCTGCGCGACTGCCTCACTGCCAGAGACGATCATGAGTTCAGTGGGGGAGGAACTGAGTAAAAATCACACAATATTTACGCAACTTCAGCTTATAAGGAGGCAACTACAGTCACTGTTTTTAAATAGGCTCAACTTCAATCCAACATAGATGCAGTAATAAAAATGTTAGGAGAACTAAACTAACAAGAAAAATAAAGGAAGCTATGAAGTAATTTGACTTAAAATTTGAAATTGACCTGACTTTTCATTTTCAGAACATACCAACGTTACATTAGAATCATTTGAATACATTTATCTACAACTAAATTGGTTTGATATCATTGAAAACATTGATTCTGTACCTAAAAAAGTAAAGTCAACTTGAAATTGAAAACATAGACATTTTAGTATGGCATCTCAATTAACACTTACAGTTGTTGTGGAGCTTTCTCAAAAAATAGTAAACATGGTTGTTATAGTGTATTAGCATTATATTACAATCATTTTACACATATATCTGCAAATAAATTGGATTCATCAATTCCATACTTTTGACGAGAACTGAAAACGTGAACTGTAGTGCATGCACAAAATGAAGAGATATACTGATTTAACATTTCTTTACTGCAAAACAGTTGTTCAGTTCAGTTTTTTGTGGTTCTGGCCTTATAAAATTGTAAAAATGTGTTTTTCACTTATTATTTGAATGTTAAGCGTCACTTTGATTCCATTGCAGTACCTTCACTGGATCTCCTTCCCCTTCCTGCCAAACATAGCCCATTGTTATGACGCTCAAAGCCAGGTGGGCCAGCCGCAGCTCACGATGGCTCTGCAGAGAGTCGGTCTCCAACAGAGGCAGCTGAATATGGACAAATGACTTTAAACTGCAGTCACAATATTCATTACCTCAGCACTTAATAGTAACTACATTCAGAAAGAGTTACATCGCATAATTTAGGAGGCATATGAGTGTGAATATTTACGAATAAACATTCAAATATGAATATTTATATAGGTTTTAGACAGGTTGATGTGGTCATGACAATGATTAGAATGTGCTGCGCTTTACCTCATGAACAAAAGAGCGAAGAGAATGAGCAGAGATGAGCTCACTGACACGTCCAGCAATGTCCGTCCAAGGCTGGAAGTATGGGGGCAGCTCCACCTTAAAGAGAAATACAACTTTACTAACTTACGGTAATAGAGTGTTGTGCAAAATCAGAGACCACCCTCTTCAATCAAAATAGTCATTAAATTCAAGTTATTCACTTTTCAGGAGATATTTCTGAGGAGATTAGACATAAGATAATCCACACGCAAATAGACGGGTAAAGTCAAAGGACAATAAGCAGTTTCCAAATCTATAGTTAAAAGTTACAGAGAAAACGTCACTCCTAACAACCACCTGCAAGAGCTGGTAGACAGAAAAACTGCCCCCATCAGAAAAACAGCACTTAACGCTTTCATCTTTGAGCGGAGAAAATCAAGCTCCACTCTTGCAAGTCTGGAGGGATATTTTTACCACACCTCCAAATAGGGGTGTGCAATATGATGCTATTTTATCATTATTGTGATAAATTATTGCTGCTGTCGGAACAAAACCTTGTATCTCCATTTTTGACGTTTTTCAGTTTTTGACATAATTTGAAAAGGCCTGTTACCCTTTACATTGTGTTTAAATTTCATGATGAATGGACCAACAGAATTGTCCCAAAATACTTTGGAAAGAAGTCTGTTTACATTGACTTAGATTAAAAGTAAAGTATGTTTTCTCCTTCTCCTGTAAAGTTACCATTTTGGAGATAAGAGGTTTTGCACTTTTCTGAGCATATCATGGATTTCGCCAGTACTTAAGGAACATTGACTAACTATTAAATATCATTAGTGCAGTGAAGTTTGTAAAACACAGAATAAAAGTCGTATTGCTGTATATTGCAGATAATTATTATTAACGTTGCGACCTGCTACTGGTTCACACTACCTCCAAGAAGCTCAGTAGATGTGGCCATGCAAGCGGCCACGTGCGGAGGCTCATGGCAGGTGCACGCCCTCCTAAAAAGGACTGTTTATTGTTGTTTGTGTTGTTTTGTGTTGGGGTGCGGGTTTGATTGGTGTATTTTGTGTTGGGGGTTGGTCTGCTGTGAGGGTGGAGCCGGTGGCTGGTGGTGACCTCCTTCATGGATTTGTGCTTCTGTACATGTCCTTCTGCCTTGGTGTTTAATAAAGAGCACTTCTCGTAGAAATCCTGGCCTCCCCTGTGTCTTACTCTACACTGACACCACATTATTATAGTATTTTTATATGTGGCACTACAGCTTCTATTTTGTCCATTTCAGCTTATTAAATCTCAGAAAAACGAAATATCGTGATGCAAACCATGTATCAGGAAGTATCATGATATAATGTTTTTGACATATCATCCACTCCTACCTCTAAAGTTCAGTCTTAGAATTTGGTTGCATTTTCTGCTGCTCATGATTTAAGTAATGCCAATGTTTTGGTGTTTTAGTGCAAATATTTTTTTTCTGTTTCCTTTTCTCTGTGAGGGCTTTTTGTCAGCTACACATCCTTTCAGACTCAAAGCGCGGAGTTGTCTTCTCACAGTAGAAGGATGAACAGAAACACCTCAGGATTTGTTCAAATCTGAATCAAGAGTGGAGCTTGATTTTCTCCTCTCTCTCAAAGAGGAAAGCGTTAAGTGCTGTTTATCTGATGGGGACAATTTTGGTGGTCACACAGTTGTTAAGAGTCACGTTTTATCTATGTATTTTAATCATGTCCTTACTTTCCTTTGACTTTCATCTTCCTTATGCAAGTGGATTAGGTAACACTATTTACGATACCCACACGTTAGATGCTTTGTAGATTCTTAACTTACTTTCAAGTTATATTCAACTAAATATCTACTAAAATGACCATATTTTTCTGTAACTTTAAACCTGGCTCTAATCCTAACCCTAACCTTAGCCCTCACCCTGGTCCAAATCCTAACCCTAGACCAAATCCTAACCCTAACCCCACCACTGTTTAGAATCAACTGAATTTCAACAGATAGTTTGTTAACAATTTGAACATCTGTAGATAATCTATAGGGGACTATAGTGGACTATCCAAATAAAGTGAGACTGTGGATTATTTTATATATAATCTTTTTGGAAATATCTCCTGAAATGTGAATGTCTTGTATTTATAGGCTGTTTTAGGGGTGATCTCTAACTTCTACACAGTGCTACAGACACACTCTATGCTTTTTTGGACAACAAAGCATCCAATCTAATTTATTGGCATAAAAAGAATGAAACAAAATAAGAGCAACTGTCTGTTTATTGCATTGTTTAAAGCCTTTGTATGTAAACTATCTTATCATTTAGACACATTTTATGTCAAAGCCAACAATAGACTATGATCTGAATTATGTGGGTATGTTGGCTACTATAAAGTTTTGTGTATTTCTGCATCATGTAAATATATGGAGATATGGAGTTCATATAAGGGCTAAAGTTAAAGCTGATTCCTTCTTAATGTTGTAACAAGTAGCTACTTGTTTTTGCATCAGACATAACATAGTGCTCAGCAATAGACAATACAGCAAATTTCCTCTTTCACAAGTATATTTTGTTTCGTGACAGTGACATAAAATTCTTAGTGCAAGCTATCATAACACGGAAATGTTTTATTCGTAATGTATATTCTGGTCGGGGAATTCACGTTCAGAATTTCCCTTTAATTCTGCTTTCTGCTTTGAGTCTGACTGCAGTGGCATGTGACTATGACAAATGATAAGAAAAACAGTTTTGAGTTTTGGGCAGTTTTGCTTCTTTTCAGAAGCCAGTGAGGGTCCAGTCCCCGTCTAGCACTGTCTCTCCACTCCTGCATCTTTTAATGAATCCAGCACAATCCTCATGTGTGCAATACCTTTTCTTTATGCACATGAACATTAAAGGGAAATCCACTGATTTTTGAACACTTCTACATAATTAAATGGTTGAGATGCGAACAGAGTCATTCATAGTGGTTTCATGTGAAATGTTCAGTTCTAGAGAAACTTGCCTAGTCAGAATTGTTTACAGTGGTGGTGATAGGAACCAAACAGTTTAACAGTTTAATGCCTCTAGAAGCTACATCACAAAAAGTTATTACATACTTTTAGTTTTAATTAGATTTTTTTAACTATCCTAATTTAATGTCTAATTAGATTTTTAATTGCATGATTTTCTCTTGTAAATCTGTTGTTTTAAGAGATAAGATTTTGGCCTACACACACACACACACACACACACACACATATATATATATGTACAGTTGGAAAATAAAGCACCACGGCTTGTGTGAATGCTGTCTCTTTATATATATATATATATATATATGTATATATTATATATATAAAGAGACAGCATTCACACAAGCCATGGTGCTTTAGTTTCCAGCTGTCAGTGGTCACAGCTATGATGTACGTAAGCAGAGTTTTCTTTCTCTGACAGCTCCTTTGCTACCCAGCTCACATCTCATCTCGGCCCTCATGCACACTTAGTAAGAGTTCTCAGCAAACCCTATGAACAATTACTGAAACCCCGCCAACCAGACTAAAACTATTAAATAAACATAATATATTGTAGCATATAAAAATATGCTACAATATATTATTAATTCATAGCGGAGAGGTACATGCAGGGCATGTATTTTTTTACATTCATCACTATTTTACCACTATCAGCATTACATATAAAAGACTTGTGTAGATTCACTGGTGGTTTTGGATAGTAACTAAAATATATATGTGCATTGTAGACACTGTGACACCTGGTTCCCATCACCCACACTGTAAAGAACTCTGAGCTGGTAAGTTTCTCTATAAAGCACCATTTCACATTAAACCACTTTCGAAGACTTTATTTACATCTCAACGATTGAATCATGTAGACAAATGGTGGAATTCCCCATTAGATATCATCACACACTTTAAACATGGCAAAAATTACAGATAGTTCCTCTAGTGTTAACAATGTACTTTTTCATAAGTAACAGTATTAAATACTGAAAGTAAAAGTGTCACTTAGATTACTCACAGTTTAAGGCAAGTTTGTAATGATTTAGACATTCAGTTTGAATGATGCTCAATGGGTGGCCATAAACTTCCATCACTTATTAACTCATAGCTCCAGTGCAAAACTAAAAAAGGAAACTTTAGACACCAAAAATGTTTTTACAGATGAACTGCATTTGGAGTAAGAGGACAATTGTAAAAGTTTAAATCTTGGTTCACCCCTCCTTTAAAACTGCGTTAAATAACATGCACCTACCAGAGGATCAGGCAGCACAAACCCATATTCCTCAGATATGTGATATTTCCCGAGAGTCAAGCAGCTCTTTGAGTCCGTAGATTTACTTCCCATGTTGAACAATGACAGGCTGGATGCACTTTGGTTTACAGCAACGACCAGAATGAGGCTTCCTAGCCTTGATGAGGAAATTCTTTACTTTCTTTGTTCTTTGCCTGGCTGTCAATCTGTTTCTCTTCCTCCCTTTCTGTTCACCAGTAGCTGTAGATATTGCTCAACCGCTCTTCCCTCCTAATAGGCCTTGGAAGGAGACCTTTAACCAGTCATCGACCCTTTTCAGAACCTTCTGGATGCAATTATTAACAAAAACTGTAATGTTTGACGTCCAGTATATTTACTGTATCTTCTACTGTATACAGAAACACTCTTTGTCAGAGATGTAGCCAGTGGGGGTGGCATGGGTGGAACTGGCTACCCCTCAAATCTGGTTGGTCACTCTGATTACCACCTCAAACTTTCTGCCATGTAACTGGCTGATTAGTTATGTAACAGGTCAACTAGGAGAGTTCTGCTGTGGCTTAACTGGAAGCAAGCAGTTAAGCACATGATGTTACCCACAATCAGACACCAGTAAAGAGAAGCAGAAGTGCAAGAAAAACCAGCATGCACCCTTTTCGCTGGTCACCAGCAAAACCAGGATATGGTGTTTTTTGGATGCAGGTATGCTGACCATGCTAAAGCAGCACCAGACCAGCATAAATCAGCCTAGACCAGCATGGAATAGACCATGAGGCGGCAGTTAAAAATGTTAATTGTTGCACCAGTTACATTGGTGTATATGTGCCTCATAGACAGTGATAAGGCAGTAGTTGGCTTCTTATTTGATCTTATGTTCCACCATAAATTGTACAGCAGTTACGTTGCTGTACAGGTGCCAGAATTTAACTGCTGCACCATTTAAGGTGGAATGGAAAATTCGAATCAGATTGTGGAGTAGGAAGCCAACTTCAGCTCCATTAGACTGTGCATGTGTGTGCACTTTATATGTGTATTGGTGTGTATTAAAGCTGCACTATGTAAGTTTTTTTTTTCTCACTGAAAGACTTAGCATTATAGAGTCTGTAGAAAAACAGGATAAAATATGGCGTGCGTACTGTGAGTCACCCTGTAAAGCCTGAAAAGTCGGAGGCTATTTATGTTTTTCGGACCATGTCGACTTTACGTACTAAAACCACAGGCATAGTCTCAAAAAGAAGGTCCAACTTGATGTCTCAAATGAGTTGTCTTTGAATGCTCTTTCAACGCACTTGCAGTCATCACAGACATCTGCTTGTAAGGGTCCGAAGCACAACCGATGTTACAAAATGCTCTTCCACACGTTCCATGCAACTACACATTTCCACCAGAGAGGTCTCCAAATCCCCAAAACTTAATTATAACATTAATTAAGCGTCTAAAGATGTCTCAGCAATGCCTTCCAGTGTTTTCACTGCTCTGTCTTTATACCAGGGGTGTCCAATCTTATCCTCCGGTGTGGCTGCAGGTTTTCACTCCAACAAAGCAGGAGGTCACCTGATGAAAAGTTTGAAGACTAAGACCGACTGATTAAACAAGTAGAATCAGGTGTGCTCCAGCTTGTTTGGAGTGAAACCCTGCAGCCACACCGGCCCTTTAAGATTGGACACCCCTGCACTATACTGCATGTTTCAATACATGTTTCTGTAAAGCTACCCATTCATCTGATGTCAATGATGTAATTCTTGGTCACATTAAAACGGAAGTAATCAAATAGGTCTCCTTTTGTTTAATTTCTGATCGTTTTTTGGTCGTTTTTGAGCTTATGGGTTTATGAACTTTGGTTCCCCTAAAATTGGCCAATTTATACAGTTCTAGACTCACCAAAATCGCAAAATTGCTGTTTGTATTCCTGTCAAACAATCAACAAAGATCCCTGGATAAGTGGATTTGTTGTGTGTCATGGTTGTCATGTATGCGAGATTATGAACATTGCGTTTTGAGTTTTTATGGATTTTTTTTTTAACTATGCTTTTATAGGACATTTACGGCTAGAGTCATAGGCCTATTTCAGTTTTAGTCACTGATTTTTAGCTCATTTCACTGGTTAACAGAAAAAAAATAACTGAAAAGGCATTGTGATACTGTCAATATACACTACATGGACAAAAGTATTGAGACACACCTCTTAATCATTTAATTCAGGTCTTTCATTCAGTCCCATTGCCAAAGATGTATAAAATCAAGTACATAGCCATGCAGTCTGCCTTTATAAACAATTGTGAAAGAATGGGTCGTTCTTAAGAGCTCACTGAAGTCGAGCATGGTATTTCAATAGGATGCCACCATTTCAACAACTTCGCAAAATTTCACGCTGAGACACATAAGGCATAAAAGTCACCAAAACTCTGATGACTCAATAACTGCAGAGCTCCAAACCTCCTCTGGCATCAACATCAGCACAAAAACTGTGTGCCGAGAGCTTTATAGCATGGGTTTCCATGGCCAAGCAGCTGCATGCAAGTCTTTCATCACTAAGCATAATGCCAAGCGTTGGCTGTACTGGTGTAAAGCACGCCGCCACTGGACTCAGTGGAAACATATTCTGTGGAGTGACGATTTATGTTTCTCCATCTGGCAGTCTGATGGACGAGGGTTTGGCGAATGCCAGGAGAACATTACCTGCATGGCTGCATTGTGGCAAGTGTAAAGTTTGGAGAAGGAGGAATAATGCTATGGGGTTCAGAGCCTTTTGAATACAATTATTAACCAAAAACTGTAATGTTTTACGTCCAGTATTTTTACTGTATTTTCTTTTGTAAACAGAATTTTTGTCAGAGCCAGTGGGGTGGCATGGGTGGCACTGGCTATCCCTGAAATCTGGTTGGCCATTCTGATTACCACCTCAAACTTTCTGCCATGTAACTGGCTGATTAGTTATGTGACAGCTCAACTGGGAGAGTTTTGCTGTAGCTCAACTAGAAAAAAGTAGTTAAGCACATGATGTTACCCACAATCAGACACCAGCAGAGAGAAGCCAAAAGTGCTACAAAAACCAACATGTACCAGTCTTGCTGGTTACCAGCAAAACCAGCATATGTTGTGTTTTGGATGCTGGTATGCTGACTATGCTGATGTACCGGCTAGAGCACCAGAACACCATAAACCACCATAGACCAGCTTAGACCAACATGGATGACGTGGCAGTTAAAAATGTTGTGTTAAACAAAGGAGAATGTTACTTGCCTGACTGCATTGTGCCAACTGTAAGGTTTGGTGGAGGAGGGATAATGATATGGGATTGTTTTTAGGAGCTGGTCTAGAACCCTTAGTTCCAGTGAAAAGAAATCTTAATGCTTCAGCCTTTTGGACAACTGTATGCTTCCAACTTTGTGGGAACAGTTTGGAGAAGAGCCTTTTCTGTCTCAGCATGACTGAGACCCAGTGCACAAAGCAAGGTCCATAAAGGCATGGCTGGGTGAGTTTAGTGTAGAAGAACTTGACTCACCTGCACAGAGCCCTGACCTCAACACCATCGAACACCTTTGAACTAGAATGGAGATTATGAGCCAGACCCTCTTGTCCAACATCAGTGTCTGACCTCACAAATACTCTTCTTATGGAATGGACAAAACTTCCCACAGACACGCTCCAAAATCTTGTATAAGGCCAGAAGAGTGGCAGCTGTTATAGCTGCAAAAGGGGGACCAACTCCATATTAATGTATAGGTGTCCCAATACTTTTGTCCATATAGTGTATTTTGACATAAATTCATTTGGGTGATGGCAAGGTAAATTTAAGTCACTTCTTTAGTTATGTCACTACATAAAGAAAGAAATATTTGGACCAGTGTGCAGTAGACTGTGCAGTGGGCTAGCATTAGAACAAAGGCTAAGTCAGCTAATGTATGTGTAAGCTAAAGAGGCATTCTGGCCTAAATGTAGCATTTAATATGTTATTTGTAGTGCTATGTGCATTCTCTAGCCCATGATTCATAATTTTATATCGTTTTCATGTCAACGTTAGACACATCAGTGTTCTTTCACTACAGTAGCCATGCATTACGCAAATACATCATACAACCATTGGGAATCCCTGTGGTGTCAACCAATCCTGACTGCCACTTATCTACAGGCTTATGAATCTAATCAAGCTAGCCTTAGAGTAATTCTTACCTTAGTCGGCAAGAAAAATCATAAAGAAAACAGTTATTCTGTCTTTGTTCAGCACAAAATGGACACCAGAGATAAGTTGTCCCCTTTCAGCCAGAGCAAAGTAGCCAAACTGAGGTAACATGAATAAATCAAGGTAACAATCTTGATAACTTTTGCTTTTGGCTTGCTGTTCTCCTCTTCTCTACACTGTAATGATACTTTGATAGATATTGCGTTTATATGGCAATAATAAGTGCAATATTTTGGTATCCTATCAGTAGCAGAACAACCCACCACCAAAATTCCACAGCAGTTTTAGCTCCTCCCACCTTCAAGATACATCATCAGAAAGGGGTTTTCAAACTGGAGAATCTCTCTAGAGCCCATGTGTCAAACACAAGGCCCGCGGGCCACGTCAGGCCCATGACACAGTCTTATTTGCCCTGCGAAATTATTTTACTTTTCTATTATTGATAGCCCATTTCATCCTGAGATGCACTACAGTTCCCAGCATGCACTGCAACATAATGTACACTCCAACCCCATTTTCCCAACAATCTATGGGCCAGCGGTTACATAAAAAGAACAGATGCCTGGTGTCTAGTTTAAGCAAACCGTAAGCAGTTTAAAAAAACCTACTGAAAACAATTTTTTTTTATTTAGAATAATTTTAATAAGTATTCAGTGTCTATTTTGCAGTGTCTGTTGCAGTTTTGGCATATATTTGAATAAACAGTGGCCCTGAGTAAACAGTGGCCCATGCTAAGTACAAATGAAATAAAAACCAAGCTGGCCCACGGATTTATGGAGATTTTTATAATACGGCCCTTTTAGTGGTTGAGTTTGACACCCCTGCTCTAGAGACTTCTGCAGTGCTGCTGTTTAACACGGGTTAGCAAGTTTAAAAATGGAACAAAAAAATGTTCACCTTGGCCAGAGCGTCTCCTTAAATGACTCAGTGTAATTCTTTTATGCCTTTTATCTTTCCGCTATTCAGCCTTTCAAACCATTCCTCAGTTTGCCTGTAGCAACAATGACCCTATTTAGAGGTTAATGTCCTGCAACGCTACTCTGTGCTAAAACACGTACAACACGTACGTCTCTCAGCTCTGTGTCAGCAGGAGGCTGCAGCTAACGGGGCTAAGGGGCTGAGGGGCTAAGGGCACCTTATGAATGAGGTGAATGATTATTACATTGTACAATATTAGAAAGTTTGTGGGGGAAGAGTGTATCACACTGCTTCAGTCACAAAACGCACTACGCGTCCCAAACCACACTCTTCTATACTTCACCTACTACAGTAATGAGTGCACTTCTAATGGTGTATGCGCTATTTCTACACACTATTTAGTGTGCTAGGACGCGGTTTGGGACGGGGCCTCAGTTTAGTATTTCCTTTTGTTGAGAAGAACTGGAAACTTTAACATGAGTTCAGGTGAGGGGGCGGAGTTATCTTCCCCACCTGCGTTCCGACAAGCCCTGATTGGCCAGAAGCGATTCACCTCCTACGCTGTAATTGGCTAATATTGACTTGCCTCTTGTGCTGGGATTGGCTGGTAGTGACCCGCCACCTGCGCTGGGATTGGTCAATAATTTTCCGTTTCATGCGCTTTGACTGGCTTATAGGACCGACCTTCTACGCTATGATTGGATAGTAGGAGCTCCTGTTCTGCGCTACAATTGGCTAGAAGTAATTAGTCGGACCGCACGGGCCAATCCTATCACAGAGGGCGGGGCTTGTCGGAAAGCGGGTGTGAAAAAAACAAAGCTGAGAGCGGCGCTGCTTTCTAATGAATGAGCAGGAGGACTGTTACCGTCTGCGTCTGTTTGGCTAACTGTAGTTAGCATTAGCAGCGAAGCTGAGGGGTGTGAGAGAGGGAGAGAGGGGGAGAGAGGGAGAGAGGGTCCGGCCTCGCTGGACAAACGTTTTCCTTCGTGACAGCAGTCTTTTAAGTGAGAAAATAGTCCCTAAAAAGAAGAGGAACCGTCCTCACAGGCCGCAGTGCTTCGGTCGTAAAGCTTTAGCCCTGTTCGCCTTCAAATGAAAATGAAGTTCATCAGCGGGTCTCCTCAGTGGCGAGCTAGCATAGCCCATGGATATCGCTTCCTCCTTTCGCTTTCAGACATCAGCCAAGCCGATGCACCACTTCCCTTCGATGCGGTAAGCTGAGCTGGGATGAAAGAAGGGGGCTTAACGTTATGAGGGGCAAGTTGTGACTGAGGCTGTTCACATGCAGTCGACATTTTCATTATTTTTCCTCCTCAGAGAGACTCGCACGTTACGTAACTACATACAGTAACATTAACGCACTGGCTGTGAAGGAGCAGCTCCAGCACAGGCAGTGAGAGCAAATCATTATCATGTTTCTGGTCTTAATTTATCAATTTAGACCATCATTCAGGTGTTCTGTGTATCACTAAGGCTATAAATCGAGGTCCCCCAGCTATAGAGACCCCTGGCCTGCATTACTGTGCCTAAGCATGTTTTTGATGCAGGAAAAAAGTCAGAACCCGTGAGTGAGCAGGGGAGGGCACACAGGGTTACATTAGTGCAAATGGACTTGAGCTGGACTGATGACTCTGAGAGTGCCTGCGTCAGACTCTCTGACTCTCTGCTGATCAATGACAGCAGTTTTTGCTGAATGTAGAGCTTTTTCAGTCCTTGGAGTGCTGAACCTACAGCAGAACCCCCAGCAGTGTTTATGTAAGCCCTGCAAGAATGGAGAGCAGCTCTGCTCCGCACATTTTACTGTTTTCCTGCACTGACAAACCACATTTCAGCCTCTTGTAGGGGATATTAACCCACCGAACCCGAGGGGTATCAGACAGAATAGGATATCTTAGATACCACTTTTTCAGATTTTGAAACTTTGAGTGTCGATACTGATCCAATATTTTCTTCTTTAAAAGCTGCAAAGCTTTAAAATTCATTCTTTTTCCCTCTGAAATTAGATCCATCATTTTTTGCTGATGTTGGCCCGATTCCAGATGCCGTCTTTAGGATATCTAGAATATTCGTCATCACACAAGTGCGGTGAAATTAAACTCCCAGAATAAAATGAAAGCTGAATAGTACATCAACGTACATACAATATAGTTGCACCAAAAACTTCATTGTGTGAATTCAGTTATTGTTCAGCTGTTGTACCTATGAGAGTGAGGGTAAAGGGTGGGTCATATTCCGGCCATTTAGAGTTTAATTTGTTAAATTAGGTGGTAACACTTTATTTGGAGTGGTCCTTTGCAGATGATTAATAAACTCTTAACAGAGTCAATAACACATCAACAACATATCAGTGGAGTAGCAGTAGTGAAGCATCTGAATACAGTGAAGTAAATATCTTGTAGATGTTCTGTTGATACATTACTTACATTAAGTAGATGTGTTGTTAATATGTTACTTCCATTACCCAAAACCTAACCATACCAACCGTCCCCAAACCTAACCCAACCCCTTCCCGAATCCTAACACCAACCTTAACCTCAAACCAAAACCTAATCCTAACCCTCACCCTGGCCCTAATCCAAACCAAACCCTAACCCAAAACCTAATCCTTACCTTCATATGTTTTCGAAATGTTACTAAGAGTCCGTTGAGTGTTTGTTTCATCTAAAAGGACCACTCAAATAAAGTGTCACCAATTAGGTGTGCAAGGTGTGCACCAAAATGTTCAGGACAGGGCAGCTCGGAGTTCAGGTTAGGAAAGTACAGGCCTAAATGAGGGGTTTTAGGAGTTGACTGTAGATGGCAGTGGGGCTGGGTTTTGAAAATTTGATACTCTTATGATACTTAACAAATTACTTCGCTATTACCAAGTGTCAGAAAAGTCATTCAGTACCTAAGTAGTCAGTCTTATCAGTATCCAAGAGCTAATAGGGATGGCTGTTCCATAATCTAGACTGCTGCTTGGCTGTCTAAATTACATTGCATATACATGTTATTACCACACAAGTACTTCAGATCTCACCTATCGGGTTTAAGCCACACTCTTTCGATTTATCCAAAATCGTGTCATTCAAGAAGTGATATCGAAATCCACGTATCAGACTGCTGTCAGAAGATTGTAAAAATCACCAGTGTTGGGCTGAACGATTTGTATCGAAATTGCAGTTTGGAAGAGGGCAGTTTTCAGGAGCTGCAATTATAATTCTATCTGAAATTATTCAACATTATAGTTTTTAGTTATAGCCTAAGTGAGGAAATTTTACCTAATAATGCAAACCTGTGAACTGGCAGCCTGACAGGTTATTCAGCGTTGAAGCCTTAAAGCACACGCGTCAGGCTCCAGTCCTCGTGTGCCAAAACACTGCAGACTTCAGTACACTGCCTCAATAAACACACCTGATTCAGCTCAACAGCTAATTAGCAAGGACTTCATGAACTGAATTCGGACCGTCAGATGAGGGTAAACACTAATCTCCACAGCACTTCGGCCCGGAAGGTCCCCAGTTTGACATGCCTGCCTTAAAGCAATGCTGTGTAGGATTTAGGAATTTGGAGACCTCTCTGGTGCAAATATCATATCGTCAGTTGTGCTTTGCACCCCAACAAGCAGATGAATTTTTCTTTAGTGAGTGGGTTGTGTTCAAAGAAAGCTCAGTTAAAATCTGTGAAGGACGTGTCGTCTGAGGATATGAGTGAAGTAATTATCTACTATTGTCATCATATCTTCATCAGTATGATGATGATTTTGCATTTGAGACCTGAACATCGAGCTGGACCTTCTTTTTGAGCCTGTGTGTGTGACGTTAATACGTAAAGAAGTTTGACATGGTCCGAAAAACTCCCGCCAAATCCATACTGGGACCTCTGACTTTGAAATGATTTTTATTAATTATGATTTATTATTAATTTCAGGCTTTACAGGGCGACTCAGAGCAGTGCCCGTACACCATATTTTATTGTGTTCTTTTTTTTCTCCACACTCTTTCAGTTTTAACAAAAAACATTACAAAGTGCTGTTTTAGGTCAGAAAAAGGGTTATGCTGGCCTTCTTGGCGGAAAAAAGGACTGCAGCTTAATATAGAGAAAATCAATGTGAATTGCAAAGGGTCAGAAGAATTGCAATTTATTTATTTTCCCCAAATTGTTTAGCCCTGCTCTAGTGTTACTACCTCAAAGAGGAAATTACAATGCTCATATAAAGTTTATAAAACAGCTGATACACTCATAAAAAGGCAATGTGTGGAATTTATTTGATTCAAATGTGTACATCATTTCCATAATAATAAAATATCACATTATTACAGTTATGTCTTTCAATTTACATGCTTTTGACAATAATTACATTGAGGTAATACAGTTTATTAATGTGTAAGTGATTGACGTTTGAGTAAAGTAAATTCAGCGCATTACTTTTTTGCACTATAAGAAGTAGGCTCACATAATAAGTCAAACACTTGTCTTAACCATAAACTTTGCTTGCATGCTTTAAGGAAAACATCATTACTGTTGCAGATTGCCCATTAAACAGAATGTCTTGATATAAGCTTTAAGATAGCTGCCCTTTTAATCTTGTGTGAATGATGCTCCTTGCGAGCAGAGCGTTGCTCTAATAATAGCTGCACCTTTAGTGCCCATACACACCAAAAATAACCCACAGAGGCAACGTGACACTGTCCGCATGGACGCTGCTGAGAACCTGTTGCACTGCTGCCCGTCTGTGTCACCTTCAGTGCCTCCCACTGATGAGTTAGCAGAGTTTTTAGCCTTCTGGCATCGACTGCATCCCTTATTTCCACCGAAAGACAAATGAGCAGAGAGTCAGTGCAGACTCAGTATCGAAAAAGCATTCATAAAAAAGATTAGCCTGCTTATTGTTTTCTTACTCGCTGTGCATGGGTTTTTTCATGACTTCTCAGCTTTCTTTGTAAAAATCTATATCTTTTGTCTGTTAGAATGAGAGCTCGCAATTAATTTGTTCTTTTTTGATAATTAGTAATTGCGTGCTTGTTGTGATTGTAATCAGAGGGATGAGAGGGAGGCGGTGCTGAGCTGGTGGCCACGTTGTTTTCTTATTTTGCACATGTTTGTTTGCGGAATATAAACCATATTGCCCAGCTTGTACTCAGTCAAGTGAGAATATAAGGGGAAGGCAGATGTTACTGACCTTGTGGTCTTGGGGAATAAACACCCAAATGAGAAGAGTTTAGGGACACTGATTGGATGCAGGAGAGGAGCTGTTGGTAGTAGACAGGAGTAAAATCCGTCCGTCTCCTTGGAAACCAGAGACTGGGCTGCAACACAAGCAGCCTCCATTTTCATAAGGCACGAGGTAAGGAGACGGTTTCTCTATGGTATCTGTGGCTTTTCGGGTGAGAGAAGAATTTGCCAGGATTAGCTGCATGAAGGTAAAGATGCTAGTATGAGAATATGAATGTGTGTATTTATAATGGGTATGTGCAAACTTTGGACACTGTGAATATGTACTGTTATAATATTATATGCTATCATAATATAGCGTAATATATAATCTAGTAATGTTACATACTAAATAGCATTCATAGAAATATTTGTCATATATTCACTCCATCTTTTTTTATATATGTATAGTACAGAAATTATGTGTTGAATTGTGTAATGTCATTTTCATCAGTCTTATTTGGTCTAAAAGCCCATTTCCCATATATGGTTGTGGTTAAGTTGCATTATGTGTCATATCCTTCAATTACTGCTATCATAGATGTTTCCATGTGTTGAGTGATTTCATTTGAGGTTTGTATCAAACTTGATTAGAAAGCTTTAAGATCTGCAGATTTTGGATGGATGGTGATGAAGTGATAGTTGTCATGAAATGTTTAAATATTTTTGAGATTTAATGGAGGTATTGACCAGGAGGTGAGGAGATCATGTATTAATCAGAGTCATCGTTTCGGCAGGAATGTGCCGATAATGAAAGGCCACTATAAATGTTCGACATTTTTAAAGAAAGCCTGCATGAAGTTTAAATCAAATATACTCAACTGATCATTCCAGTGCCAGTTAATAGTCAGCATATTTCTGAATATTCAGAATATTTCTCATATTTCATTGATGCATCAGTTGGAGAAGGTAATCTTTGAGCTGATGCTGATTGTCACTGATTTATTGCGAAAGTGGAAACGTCACATAAAAGCCCTGTTTTGTAGTGTATATTTGCTCGTGTCTCCGGCAGGGAGTTGAAGGCAAATATTCAGGCCAATGAGAGTGAGTCTCTAGGCAGATTCTTTCTTACTTTGTTTACTTTCCTCATTGTGTGAGGTTCTGAAAGGCATCAGAGACTGTGGCTGATGGAGGAGAATAATGAGATTCAGTATTCATTCATCACTGTAGGACTGTTGTGATTTAAAGTGACTCATCAGATTAAATTGGATAAACATGAATTATGAATGGGGAGTGACCTTTAATTGGATGAGCTTGCATGCTGTAGGCTTCTTCTCAGAGATCAAGAATCAGTTTCCTGCTGTGCATCATATCTACTGTGCTTCATTACATACTTTGTAAACTCTCATTCTCTTTAGAGTCTCTATGGACAAATGAAGTATAATGCTTTTAATATGTTTTCTGCTGTGGTGATGGTTTGCAGCATTCAAACACAGTTACTAGCAGCAAAGGGCAAACATTGTCACTATATTCTATACTATGCTATAGGGGCAAAATGTCCTCAAAATAACATGTTGTAAATGTAACAAATCAGTATAAAAGAACTTCTAAATGTAATAAATCAGACTGAATGTAATGATTGCACAAGTAAAATTTGATAGTATATCGCTGCTGTCAGAACAAAACCTTGTATCTCCATTTTTGTCGTTTTTCAGTTATAAGTAGTTTCCAAATCTATAGTTAAACGCTACAGCGAAAACGTGACTCCTAACAACCACCTGCAAGACCTGGTAGACACCAAAACTGCCCCCATCAGATTAACAGCACTTGACGCTTTCATCTTTGAGAGAGAGAAATAAAATCAAGCTCCACTTTTGCAAGTCTGGAGGGATATTTTTTCCACGCCTCCAAATAGGGGTGTGCAATATGATGCTATTTTATTGTTATCGTGATAAATTATTGCCATTTTTGGAAGGAAACCTCGTATCTCCATTTTTGTTGTTTTTCAGTTTTTGACATAATCTGAAAATGCCTGTTACCCTTTACATTGTCTGTAAATTTCATGATGAATAGAACAAAAGAAATGGCCCAAAATGACTTGGAAAGAATTCTGGTTCCATTGACTTACATTAAAAGTAAAGTATGTTTTTTCCTTCTCCTGTAAAGTTACCATTTTGGAGATACGAGGTTTTCTTCCGACAACAGCGATATGTTTCTTCTATCTAAATTCTTCATTCTTTTCAGTAAAATTGAAAAGAAATTGAATATATATTACTCGATTGTAAATTCTGCCGTTGAGATTAAACTGCTAGTTAGTATTCTGATTAAGTTAAAATGTTATGCCCCCATTTATGTATAAAACATCTTCGAATTTAGGTAAGGACAAAAATTACCCTTTAAAAAGCATATTATTTCCTAGCCTGCGGTGTTGTTTAAATCTGATATTGCCCAGACTGACTGCATCACCAAACCAGAATTAGTTCGCTCCTGTTATAGACAAGAAAGGTCATTTTTAACAGAAGTGCGAAGGAATCATATAACCACACAGGAGTAACTTAAAACATGACAGCCAGGCGCTGGAGTGCAGCTCGATCAAGCCGACATCCGAGTGTGATGCATTAGAATCAGTCGATTCTGCTCTGAAATTGCATCTACTGTTATTGCAGAAAGCATGAGCTCTGTAACTGAGATTACCTCAGTGTAGACCTAAAAAAAGTCCTTTGTATCATGAAAGAATGCCTGAATTAAATTGCATAGGCTAATTTGTGTTAAGCAGGTGATTAAGGAACCAGACGAGTGAAATGTTCAGTGCCTCTAAAAGCAACTTCACGGAAGGTTCTTACTCAAAGTGGTTATGAATATGTTGTCTGATACATTCTGACACTGTTTTATAATAGGTTTGAGAGAACATATTGACTTGAAATATTAAATACATTAAAGGCAAACAGATAAGTTTAGGGCATCGTTAGGCCAAATAGTGGCAGTTGTAAGTTTCACTTATAAATCTTTGGCTGACCCATGAAAAAGCTTCTATTGATCTAACTTTGTCTTGACATTAGCAGTTTATGTGCATGATATTTTATTATTTTACCCAACACTTATTTCCTCTTTTTTCCATTTTTCCAAATCAGTGTGTCCAATCAGAGTTCAATTCCCCTAAAACATGTTGTTAAAATCGCCATATGTATTAGAAAGCCTTTCTGGTATCACTACTAAGCAGTGTTAACGAGACATTTTGTTCTTGCTTGTGTTTCAAATGCATTTTTATCCCTTTGCATGGTGTGCAGGCCTCAGCACACTGTTTAGTAGTGAATTAGATTTATTTTCAGGAACACATCCTCTGAAATATGGCCTTTTTTAGGGGCCTCAGTGTCTCTACTAGAAGACTTCAAACAAACCAGCACACACACACACACACACACACACACACACACACACATGATCATGCACAGAGCTCCATTTAAGATTCTTAGAAGTATATGAGCTGGCAGTGACTTCAGTGCAGAATGTGTGGAATGCGGAGGGAGCTGAGGGTAATTACAATCGATCCTCTATACTGCTGTTTCTCCATAAGCTGCATTGGTTTAGGGGGTCAGTGCCAGCTTATTATAGAGATCAATTATGGAGGGGGTCCTGGAGGGCAGTCAAAAGGTGAGGTCAGCCAGCTAGCCTTTTGATCAGAACATATTGATATTATTTTAAAGATGTCCTGATCTCTAAAATCCCATTATCTCTATTGGATTTTCAGTTATATTCCTGTACATTTCCTTTGCCGTACATTCAGAGGTGACAGGGTGCGAATAGCTAATAGTTAACAGTTTTTGGAATTTATGTGTCACCTTTACTAGGAATGGTTATGCTTTTTAGTCACACTTACCTTTGTACTGTCTTGATCGAGTGATTTGTGTATGTTTTTCCCGCTAAAGCAACACATCACTCCAGGCTGTATTTAATTTTGTTTTACTGTACATGGTTAAGAGTGTTTTTTGTGTTTAACTGCTGGCTCTGGAGATCTCTTGTTGAGAAGTCTGACAATGCCACAGCCATCCAAGGCTGGGAATCCAGTAGAGCAGAACTAGCCTCACTCTCTCTGGGTGGGTAGGATGGTACCCCCCAACACACTCAGTATGATTCCAGCCAAAGTGGGTGTCTGTTACCTGATGTAGCACAGTTGGCAGTTAGTGTTCTCCAAGGTTATTGAGCTGTCCATTGATGTTTTGTTAGCTGTAGTTTGAACAGAGGCAGTGGTGTTTCACATGTCTCAAAGGATTTGGGCGCTGCTTATTTGGGGAGGGGGTGGGGGTTCTGAGTAAAAAATGTATTTTAGGCACAGTAATTGTGATAAACAGTTCTTTTTGCCCAAGAAATGTAGTTAACGTGTGCCGAAGAACATTATGGTCTAAGAAAATTACTGTATGAGTCATACAGTCATTGGTCAAACAGCATGTCTGCTTTATTTATTTTACTTTTCTCTTTCTAGTTCCCATTTTATGGATTCTGATATGGACTATGAGAGGCCAAATGTCGAGACTATCAAGTGTGTGGTTGTTGGGGACAACGCTGTGGGAAAGACCCGGCTCATCTGTGCCCGGGCCTGCAATGCCACCTTGACCCAGTATCAGCTCCTGGCCACACATGTGCCTACTGTTTGGGCCATAGACCAGTACAGAGTGTGCCAAGAGGTGAGGAACATGTACACTCACTATCAGGGTCCCATTGAATATTAAATTGTAGGCAGTTTAAGTAGCCTCATGCACATGGTCACAGAAACATGGAAATGTTGCAAACATGTTGTATACAGTTACCTGGGTAAATCTCCATGCATGTGATAGGTGTGTTTCTCCAACCAGGTTCTAGAGCGCTCTAGGGATGTGGTGGACGATGTCAGTGTGTCCTTACGGCTTTGGGACACTTTTGGAGACCATCACAAGGACAGACGCTTTGCATATGGCAGGTCAGCTACATGACTTACAAATAAATTGAATAATAAAAGTGTAGTTAAGTTGATTCCTTAGTTTGTTAATTCCTTTTTAGAATTTACTTGGAGTGGTTATGCTTTAAGCTGTCTTTGCATTTGCAGCACCTGATATTAGTCTTGGTCTTGGTCTTGGTATCTCTTCTTTGTGTGGCCTCATAAAGCATCACTGCAGTAATGCATGGCCACTTATCATGTTTTTGTGGCAGGTCTGACGTAGTGGTGCTGTGTTTCTCCATTGCAAACCCAAACTCCCTGCACCATGTGAGGACCATGTGGTACCCAGAAATCAAACACTTCTGCCCTAGAGCTCCAGTCATTCTGGTGGGCTGCCAGCTGGACCTGAGATACGCTGATCTAGAGGCAGTCAACAGGGCCCGCCGCCCGCTGGCCAGGTGAGACTATCTCCTTTTACACTGGCCATTTCTGGCGCAAGTAGTCATTCTAGCAACACCAATACGTGTTTACTAATACAAGTTGAAGAATACAGTTTCTGTACCTCTTGCCTCATACAGTGACATTTAAGGCATAGTTCAGCCAAAAAATCACACATACACATTTTCTAAACAGCTTATCCGTCTGGGTCGCTGGGGGTGCTGGAGCTTATGCCAGCGCTCATTGGGTCTAATTTACACAATTTTCCACTTACCTCATATGTAAACAATCAGCAAAGACCACATCAGATTGTTAAGTAATCTTGATTAGACTTGATTATGTGGATTCTGACACAATACGACATACCGTTTCTATAAAAATGGATACAAGTAACAAAATTCATGCTTCATTAAGGCTCCTACTGTTTTTAGGTATGCAGTGATCTTTTGTCCATTTTTAGTTAGTATGTTCTGTGTAAGTTTGCACAATGTTGAGTGGTTTAGCATAAGTTTCCATTATACACTATATGGCCAAAAGTATGTGACCATCACACCTATATAAGGTTGTTGGACATTCCGTTCCAAAACCATGGATATTAACATGAAGCCCTCACCTTGTAACTGTAACAGCCTTCACTCCTCTGAAAAGGCTTTCCACAAGAATTGGGAGTGTGTCTGTAGAAACTTGTGCCCAGTCAGTCAAAAGAGCATTTATGAAGTCAGGCACTGAAGGCTTGACTCATAATCGACATTCCAGTTCTACCCTTAACTGTTGCCACAAAGTTGGAAACATATAATTGTCTAAAATGTCTTTGTATGCTGCATTTTCATTACCCTTCACTGGAACTAAGAGCAGAGGTCAAACTCTGAAAAAAACGTCTATAATGGTGCCATGTTAAAAGTCACTGAGCTCTTCAGTATGACCCATTCTACTGTTAATGTTTGTTTATGGAGATTGCATGCCTATGTGCTTGATATTATTCACCTTTTAACTATGAGACTGGATGAAACCCCTGAGCACAGTAATTAGGAGGGCCATTAATCTTAATATAGAACATTTTATGCTTCTGTATTTCAGACCCATAAAATCAAACGAGATTCTGCCTCCAGAGAAGGGCCGTGAGGTGGCCAAAGAGCTCGGCGTTCCGTACTACGAAACCAGTGTCGTTGCTCAGTTTGGAGTCAAAGACGTTTTTGACAATGCCATCCGGGCCGCCCTCATCTCGCGCCGCCACTTACAGTTCTGGAAATCCCACTTGCGCAACGTGCAGCGGCCTCTCCTCCAGGCCCCTTTCCTCCCTCCAAAACCGCCTCCTCCCATCATCACAGTCCCTGCGCCACCCAGCAGCATTGAGGAGCACCCGGGCCGGTTGCTGGAGGATCCACTGTGCGCTGATGTTATCCTGGTCCTGCAAGAGCGCCAGCGGATCTTTGCCCATCGCATCTATCTAGCTACGGCCTCCTCTAAGTTCTACGACCTTTTCCTGGCTGAACGTCGCGCTCCTGAGGACAATAAGAAAGAGAAGGAGCGTCCACGGCCTCCACTCTCTGGACGGGAGCTGCTGATGCGGGCTGCCAGTTTTGACGTTTGTGAGAGCATAGATGAAAGAGACAGGGCGAACCTTCGGGCTTGCACTAGTGACGGAACCCTCAAAGGAGGGGAAGGCGGAGGCCGGCTACTCCCTGCGTTTAGCCGGGCTTTTGTCAGTGTCCAGGAAGAAATGGTAGATGACCCAGTGACCTTCAGCTCCAGGCAGATGACCGTGATTCACATGGACCCGTCAATGCAGCCAGGGCCATTTAGGGCAGTGCTGCGGTACTTGTACACAGGGAAGCTGGATGAACGGGAGAAGGAGCTGATGCAGGTGGCGCACATCGCTGAACTGCTGGAGGTATTCGACCTGCGCATGATGGTGGCCAACATCCTGAACGATGAGGCGTTCATGAACCAGGAGATCACCAAGGCATTCCATGTGAGACGCACCAATCGAGTTAAAGAGTGCCTGGCTAAAGGAACCTTCTCAGGTGAGAGGCATGTGAATGGTACCCTACTATTTATAATACAGTTTGGAATCATTTGTCATCATCATCTTTCACTGACTCAAAGAAAATTGAGGATATGAATGATCATTCAACAGGCATAGATTGGGCGAGTGGATGGTATGAAATAGACCAGGGGTGCACAACTGTCCAGCACAGTTCGGTGATTTACCTGATCACACTCATATATTAATTGTCAGGTTTAGTGGGTATGTTTGACTACAGAAACCTCCAAGCTGTGTACCACTGCACTAGACGCTGGAGATGTGCATTATGACAGATTTTAATATTTGTGTATCCGTACTGAATCACCTCTGGGTGTGGAAAGCTTTTTGGAATGTCAATACATAACACACAACATGAGGCTTTTGTTTTTTGACACCATATTGTCTTTCTGACATCCCACAAAAAAACTAATATAGGAAAATGAGAATCATTCTGTACATTTATCTACCACTAAATACTTGGTAACTTTAACCGTCAATTTTAAACATCACACAAACACTTCTGCAACACATTGCTGCCTATAACCACTAAACCTTTGAACAGTGATTGCATACATTTAAAATAGAAGTGTATACTGTGGTGCTCTGGTTTTTCTTTTCCTGTGTGTAGAAATCTTTCCTCTCTGTCCCTCTATTGTGTTTCACTTTCCGCAGTGTTTGGTTATATTGCAATGCTTAAATGTGTAGACATTGCATTTTTGAAATGTCTGCACAGTATATTTTCAGTATAAACTGCAAAATTGCTATGCTGTGTGTTTTTTATCCATATCCTTCAGCAGAAGTCAACATCATTTGAGACACAAGCAAACTGAATGTTCCTGTATCAAGCTTTTTTCCCCTCTACCTCATCACGAAATTGAGCAACTCGGTCATCCACCCCCACAGCGACGGACTGGTCTCCGTATTTTGCCAGCTGGCTTTTTAAGCTTATTTAATCAGAAGCCTTTCGGGAGAGCCAGTGATGTTTTTCAGCACGTTCGGGGTTTGAGGGGGTATCAAGCTGCTCCTCCACTGCTGACTTAGCTTTCTTGTGGTCCTTACATAAGCAAAGAGCTTTTGTATTTATTTATTCTTCGCTTCACTCCTCCATCAGCTTTTAAGGAAAATGGAGTATTGACTGAGGGAATTGTAGACTGCCAAGATAACGACATTTTAATCAGATCCTCACCAGTGTCTCAGTGAACAGCACTGCTATGAAATAAGAAAAGCTGCAAGATCTTGTCATCATCTCTGTTGGACACCTTAAGTTAGAGGCACATGTTTATTTTTTCAATGTATGTTTATGTCGCAAAGAGACAAGCTGCTCATGGATACGTACATTATGGCTTTATGTCAATAAAGGACATGTATTTTTACTGTTGGGTGTTTTTTTCTCTGTGCCAGATGTGGTGTTCAAGCTGGATGATGGTACGATAATGGCCCATAAGCCCCTGCTCATCTCAAGCTGCGACTGGATGGCGGCCATGTTTGGAGGACCCTTTGTAGAGAGCTGTACTAAAGAGGTACATCAAGGTTCCTCAGTTTCTGAAGTTATTGTTCTTTTGTTATACAGTCAATTTACACTCCATAATTATGTATATGATAGTACAGAATCACATTCACATACATTAGTTACATAATGAATTCTGTTCTTCATAAACAGATTTGAGTCAACTTCAGATTTTTTCTTCTGCTTTTGCCAGATTTATTTTATTTTCAAATGCAAATGTGAGATGGATCCAAATTGTGAATCCTGTCCACACTTTTAACAGAATGTTTCTGCTTGTTTCAGTGAGCTATGAGTGAGAAATAATTACACAAAATGTAAGAAGACACATTTCATGCCATATATAAACCTCAGATGTGCCCTGTAGTTCAGATTGAATCCAAGTTTGAATTATGTGCCAGGAGTTTAGAGATAATGCAGTTTTTCACAGTTCTGGGAATAAAGCAGTCAACTGCATTCCCAGAGCTTAGGAAATGTTCTTTTTTTCCATACAGTGTGTGACTAAGTCAGTTGTGGTTGATTTGGGGTTTCCAGCAAGCATGCCCATAGGAAGTGAACCCAACATATGACCTTTGATGTGAGAATGTTTTTTTCTTTTCTTTTTTTTTTTCTGAATTGTCCTATTTAGAGTTTGTCAAGTTATAATGCAAATGCTGTGAGCATGTATGCTGGAAGCTAGAGGATGAGTTTGCTCATATCTTTATAGTTTCAAGAGAAAATATACATTATGCTGGACTATGATTCTGGTTAACTGTAGACAGCTGGTAATATTTGAGCTTCCTCCAGACATACAGACAGATGAACTAAAATATTCATTTGCCACCCAGTACATAAGTTTTTAATTTTTAATATACCCTGTACTGTAAACAATACAGTGACATGCCATGCAGCTGTTGGTGGTCCAGCAAAACTAGATTTGCCTAGTCTTGTTTGCCTGTGGGTAGCTCTACAACATAGCTGAAGTATGCATTGGCAGCAGCATTGCATTCTTTGCATTGGGTACTTACACACTGTATGTTTCAGATTGTAAATGTACAAGCATTTGTGAGTTTCTGATGGTGTGGGTTGATGCCAGTTTCCTCCCTTTCACTGATGCATGCAAAAGGTGCTTGAGTTCTGACAGTGCCCCCTTGTTGGAAAACTTTGGCCTTCAAAATGTGTGTGCGAACGAGCTAGATAGGTAGGTATCCATTACATAAAGTGCATAAGGTGCCTCAAAACTAAAAAAAGTTTTGGTTTATGAATTCCAAAGCTCAGTGGTTTGAAATTCCAAACCTTAATGGTTGTTTGAGCATTGATTTGATTTCTGTTTCCCAGGTGCTGTTTCCAAACACTACCCGCAGCTGTATGCGTGCGGTATTGGAGTATCTCTACACAGGCCGCTTCTGTTCTCGCCCAGACCTGGACGCAATGGAGCTCATCGTCCTCGCAAACCGTCTCTGTCTGCCTCACCTGGTTGCACTGACAGGTACACACGAACACACATGCACGCACACCAAATCTCTGCTAAGTGACTTAGTTGCTGTGAGCTTTACTGGGCTAGTAATGCACTTAAGGGTCCGAGTCTTATCAGCAGGGGCTGCACAGATCTGTGCTCAGTAAATTTAGACTTGTTATCTATCACAGCAGAGGAGAGACAGGATAAGACAGGAGCTGCTAATAGAGTGGATATTTTTGGGACCGGAAGGTGAATGTAAGTCAGTAAAGAACAAATATGACTGTTGATGCTTTTATGCTTCCAAAATAAAGCAATAAGATTTTTTCCTTGACATATCAATAATGGGCTAAATTTGATAATGTACAGCATGTTAAAATAAGTTACCTCTTCTCTGCTATTTGTTGAATGAACTGCTCATCACATGCTTTGTTACAATTTCCATCGTAAAACAAAAGCAAGAAATGTGACAGCAAGAAACAGGGTTAGAAAAAATATTTGAGTGGAAAGAAATGCTAAAAGAAATATTCCACTTTTGTAAATAGTGGTTAATAAATGTCATAATCAATAATAAATAAGTGTAAATATAAATGTAAATATGTTGCATGTGCTGTTTGTTAAATGTGTTTCAGAGTTGTACACTGTGACTGTGCTTATGGAGGCTGCCATGATGGGAGCTGATATAGATGGAGACGTACTGGTTTATCTGGAAATGGCACAGGTAAAACACTGTGCCCAGTCTGCCAGAAGCATTATGCGTTAACTTGACAACTAGAGAGAGTCTTTAAGTGAACCACTGTAGAGGTATAGTCTTCCTGACAAATGTTGTGACACTGACATGCCTAGAATAGAAGCTGGCTATCCACAAAAAGTATATACCCTAATTTTTGTCTTGTCTTATCTGCTGTGTGTTTGCATGTCTTCTCAGTTTCATGGCGCTCATCAGTTGGCTGGATGGTGCCTCCACCACATCTGCACGAATTACAATAGCGTTTGCCGCAAGTTCCCTCGTGATATGAAGGCCAAGTCAACAGGTACCTAATACACTGACCGTCATTCACCATGTTATCATTCACCATTACAGATGGGTTGTGTAAATTCTCTCAACACGTCAGTGTGTTTGACTAAAATCAATGACTCTGAAAGTCCTAAAGCTATAATAGAGCGCAGTTATTTAATTTACATCAAGAAAACTGCTAATTTGGACTGCGTGATGACACTTTTCTATGCCCAGAGATGCTATCCTCTTCTCTTCTCATCACAGTCCCTAAAACTCACTACCACCGCATAGCTATAACTATTTCCAGTGAGGATATATCAGTAGTAGTCATCTTCTGCAAGGAGCTTATTGCTGTAATTTTGGGACATGATATCGGGCTTCAGCTAACACTACAACTAGCTTGCAAAATGGCATGGTTATTAAGCCACTGAAAAGCAGGGGTTTCACTAAAGGTTTATGGATAGGGGTGTTAAGCCTGTACTGGGGGGTCTGGGGGCATGGTCCAGAATTTTTAATGGCCCCAAAATGTCTGTTCACCATGAATGTTTAAAGTAGCAACAGTCAAAGAATGTATCAGGAATGGCTATTTGGTCAAAATGGCACAAGTAGATCTGTCTCTTTGGAGTTTATATTAAGCACAGGTCTAGTATGACTTCCTCTCTTTCTTCTTGATCACTAGCCTCCATCAGATCTGCTACTTCAGCCCTATTAGTCTCTTTCAGCTTGTTTCTCTCCCTCTGCTTGGCTGTGTTTAGTAATACACATTTTTTATTAAACTCAATATAAAGTCTTTTCCTTTTTTTTGTTTTTAACTGGTAAAAATCATCTGACTGGCTGTAGATAAAGCTGCTGCCTCTTAATTTCCACCTTTAGGTTGATTAATTGAGGGATGCAAAACTATGTTATGATTAACACTATATGACCCACCAGGTCTCATATGAGTGGCTTACAACTTATGAGGTCTGATGTGATTGGCCAAGCTGGGGGTTTCACTTTTCATTTTATGTTAGAAAATCCATGTAATGTGACCTATCAGATCCTAGGGGAGTTGGTGGCAGGTGATCTTTATCATCATTATCATTTTCTTAAACCGCTTAATCCAGCTAGGCTTGTAGTGGCAGTTGGGAGAGCAGAGAGTCCCAGACGACCCTGTCCCTCGCAACTTCCTCCAGCTCAGTCCAGGGGACCCTGAGCAGGTCCCAGGCCAACTTGGACATATAATCCCTCCAGCAAGCTCCTAGGACGACCTTGGGTCTCGTCCCATTTGGCTGTGCCTGGTAAACTTCCAATCAGATCCTAATCAGATGCCCGAGTCACCCCAACTGGCTCCTCTGGAGGAGTATCGGCTCTACTCTGAGCTCCTCCTGGATGACAGAGCTCCTCACCCTGTTAAGTAGAGTGTAGCCCGCCACCCTGTGCTTATTTCCGCCGCTTGTATCCGCGATCTCATTCTTTGGATCGTTACCCACAGCTCATGACCATAGGTGAGGGTGGGGATGTGGACCGACTGGTAAACAGAGAGCTTTGCCATATGGCTCAGCTCCCTCTTCACCAAAACAGCCAGTTACAGCGACCGCATTACTGTTGCCGCTGGCGGCCAGTCTCACAATCCCTCTTCCCATCACTCATGATCAAGACCCCGACATACTTGAACTCTTCCCCACGTGGCAGGTCCTCTCCCCTTACCTGGAGTGGTCATGCCATCCTTTTCTGGGCTAGGACCATGGACCTAGACTTGGAGTCGAATAGGCAGGTGATCTTTAGTCAAATACATTACCATTTCTGGAGGATTATATCCTCTTCGGAACACAACCTCATGTCTTTAAAAAAGTAAGAAAAAATTTAATGTAAGGACTTTTTTTTTTATTAATTTTCAGCCATCCCTAATGGTTCATTCTTCAACTTTGAAACAGAGTAAATGGCAGATTTTCAAATTATGTAAAAAAAAAATCATTTAAAAAGACAAAATAGGAGATACAAAGATTTTTCGACAGCGATGATATAGAATTCTTTCTTGTGTCTTTCAGAAAACCAGGAATACTTTGAGAAACATCGTTGGCCCCCAGTGTGGTATCTGAAAGAAGACGATCATTATCAGCGGGCCCGTAAGGAGAGGGAGAAAGAGGACTACTTGTACCAGAAACGTCAGTGTAAGCGCAAGTGGCTCTTCTGGAACCTTCCGTCCTCGCCCTCTTCCAACTCCCCCTCCTCTCCTGGCTCTTCAGCTGTCATGTGATTGGCCATCGAAGGCCTTGCTGCTGGTCTGAGATGGAATGTAAATGCACACCTCAGCATTGACAGCCAATTTGGTTCAAATATACAGGCTTATCTGTCCATCATCCAGCCACTGAGTATGAATCCCCAGGCGCGAAAACAGAGGAACAGGCAGGAAAGCCAGAGAGTTGTAGGGTTGTTTTCTTTTTTATTTCGCTTTGTTGCAGCTGATTGAGGACACAACTGAAGCTTTGCTTCCTCAGCGGTTTAAAGGATGAAAGTTCTCTGAAGCTGTGTATTTGGCTCAGACCCAGCAAATGAAAAATGCTAAATGACACTACTGATAACTGCTAACAAAGTGCTTTTCATCTACAACACAGTACAGCTAAGAACAACCAAGCAAAATGTCCTCAAAAAATGTTTTGGCTCCTCTTCGATCCTTGTTTTCAGAGAGAGGATTTAAGAGCATATTTTTGCTTTTCCAGTACAACAAAGATTTCCATACACAACTATGATGATGGTCAAACGCTGCATGGAGGGGCATGCAGATATTGACTGCCACAGAATGTTATATTAGGCTTACTCAGTCCAAACAATCCAGTGACACAATTGAATTATCTGGAATCAAATTATGTGTTTCTTTTTTTTTTTTGTCCTGCTCTAGTGGAAACGTATTGTTGAATGTTAATTGTGCCCAGCTGGCCCTGACAGTGACTTTGAAAGTGAATTGTTTATCCTGCTCACTGTGGTCTATTTGTGACCTTTCAGACAAAAAGGGCTCTCATTTTCTTCTTGTAATTGGACCCTCTCTCACATGTTTGCTGGACAAGTGGTCAATGTGAATTGGACGTTGAGATGATAATGGAACCGCACACAACCATTATTTGACATTATTCAGCAGCAATAGTCAAGTGCAGACCAGCACTCCTAAAACTCTAAATACCTACCATATCATAACGTGAAATCTAATCACAAGAAAAAAAAATCTCAAACAGCTCCCTGCCCCAAGAGAACGGTCACGATGTTTGGAGTCTTTACATGACCTATGAACAATGGCTCAATACACAGAGATCCTGTGTAGCCAGGGTGTAGCCACGCGCTGCAGTCTTTACCAAAGTAAATAATTGAAATGCTTTACTTCAAGAGTGCCCAGCCCTGCTCCTAGAGATACCGAGCTGCTTTAGTTTCAAGCCTAATCTACCACATTAGGCTGTAATTAGGGATGTCCTAATCCAATCTGAAAGAGCCAATCCATGCATATTGTAATAGATCAGTATCGGCTATTTCAAGCCTGATCAAATTCTAATCCATTGTCAAGGCTGTTCTAACTGATCTATTTACGTCACTGTTGTAGAGGTGACATAAGTGGTCATTATCCACAACTTGCAGCACTGAGGCACAATATGGCAAGTTAAAAGGAAAATAGAAACTGTGTGCACAGCTATTACACACTTCACGGTAACAGTGAAACGTGCAACTTGGTAACTTGAAATCTGGCATTCAAGATATCATGAAATGGTATCAACTCAAGAGTGTGTCACAATATGCACATTTTAAAGTAATTGGTAACTGAGTACATCTCATCTGTGTTGGATTGTTTTTACTAACTTGTGTTTGAAATCTGCACAATGCAGCTGTCTCATACACAAGGATACAATGTTGAAGAAGACAAACTTGGAGACATCCCTAGCTGAAATATTCAGATACTCCTGAGGAGATCCGTTAACAGGGCCAGTTTTGATTATTGTTGGAAATAAGCTTTACCACGCAGTTGATCTCCAATAGCAGGGCTGGACACCCTTGTTTTACTTGGTGAACGCTGCATGTCACGCACACTCAGATTTATAACGCTGGATATGCATGTGTAGGCTCACGGGCAGGCCCGTGACTAGTTTATTTTATCTGGATGTTTGCTGTCATTTGCAAACAGTATTCCTATTTATGTAGAAAGCAAATGATGCTTATGTCTAGCTTTTCTAAGAATTTAGTTTTAGAGTGCTGAAGTAATGTCATGCAGATGAAAATATGTTATACAATGAATTAAGCAGCACTAAACACAGAGAAAAGCAGTATAGGAAATGTAGTATAAAATGCCACTAAGCGAAACGCTTTTGAATTGAATGCATTTACTCTGCTTAAATTGAACCCCTTAGAGAGGGGTATATTGCAAGCATGGTGCATACTGAGTAGTATAGAACTGAACTACTCTGCAAATTAAGTTTTAATCCGTGTCTTCTAGTTCAGCTGATACCCAATTGTACATGATCTAATATGTAATCTTGGTCATTATACTGATGTGTAGGAGTGACCGCTGCTTAAACCAGAAAAGGACAAAAGCATCTGTAAAGCAACAACTCTGTCTTTATTGTTGCACATTAGAGTGGAACATGGTTTGTATCCCTTTCATTCAGCAATATTCATAAGGCGGCTCTCATCCTCTTTGTGAACGCAAAGAACAAATCCTTCTTTTCCTGCATGCAGCCAGGTGGCATTTACACAAATATTTCACCGTGACTTTTCAGATGATTATCTCATTTAATACCGAGAATGTCAGTTTGCTTTACTGGTATTAATAATAATCGGAAAAAGCCTGCATGCGCAAGATCAGAGTGTACCTCGGAGGGATGCCGGGTTGTTTCTTTTAGCTGTAAAAGCATAAATTGTCAGTGCTGTATTCCTACAAGATGTGTATGGCCTGGAGCTCCAGAGATATTTCCTCAGTGCCATGTCAAGACATTCAGACATATCTGGAATGCATGTACAGTGATGGAGCAACCTGTCCAGTATCTGTGACACTATGTAAAGTTTGTAATTCCATTTAGTACTCTAGGGGTTGGAGTTTAGAAATGGCATATCTACTATGAGTGAATCAAATGGCAAGTACCAGCACAAACTCAGCAATGCAGGGCAGTCTGTTTACACCAATGAGCCTTCACACTTAATGCAAGGGAAAAGTTTTGGAAAGGTGATGTAGAGTTGCTATATTGGTCGCCATCCTATGATCGCTGCCTGGAATTTATACCACACTGCATGGTTTGCTTAATCTCTTTTGAGAGATTTTGGTACCGTGATTAGTTTCAGGAAACGTTACCTTGATCATTGCGGTCACTTACATGTCTATCACATCTAACTTGACAGTGAGGTTTGTCATATGAACAACGATTAACTCCTGCTTGCCTCTAGACCTCTAGGCTTTCAGCTGACATCTGGTCTTGACAGCTAGTGTCTGGCCTTTTTTTAGTTTTGCTATAGAGAAATCTAGAGCATGCTGCGTATATTTGTCAGATTCTACAAGGACCATGTCACCCCCCATTTCCAGCCAGCAGCAGTTCTGGTCATGCAGTTTCAGGGCATGAAATAGTTTAAAGTCTGCACCCCTAGATGCTAGGGTTAAAACCCAAGAACAAACTTAGAACTCATTTGTGTCAAAATCAGATGTGTCAAAGTATCTTAAGCAGACGCAGACTGGAAAGCTATATGCTAACACAAGACATGAGTGGATACACGTCTAAAACCATCTCCTGATACTGCAAATTTACTCTTAGAACTGCTGCTGACTCTCCAGATCTGCAGATGGATGCATCTCCAACATTCCAGGCAGAGTACTTGGCAGTAATTTTGGGAAATTGCTCCTGAATTTTTCGGACTTTGTGGTATTAATAATTTATTGTTAAAACACTGTCACCCTAGTGCTCAAGGGAAGGGCTGAGTATTGATCAAAGTTTAATGATACTGAGCAAGCAAGGCTCTTTGACATTGACAAAGAATATTTCAGTACTCTGTGGTATTGAAGTAATCTGGTCGGTATCATAAAAGTATAGAATTTTGATACCCAGTCCTAATTTAGAGTACTTGAATAGAATTTAACTGTGGTCATTACAGCATTTCCACCCTTTGACACAACAAATTACAAGAATTTTAAATATGTATTCAGTACAGTATTTAAATGTGTTTAAAAATGGGTAGTTAAATCCTGTATAATGTCATTTAGGTTATGTTTCCATGATAATTTTTTGTTCCGCAATATTCATATCATGCTTGAACTGGTTGCTAAATGGGTGTCTCTTATTTAAATATATACTGTAATACAGTATGCTAAAAGGAGCATCATCTAGTATTGCTGTACAGTCCCTAGTTCATCTGTTTTAACCCTTATGGAAACAGTTAAAATAATTTCTAAACCTACAAATTGCCAGTAAGCCCAAAATATTGTGCTTGAAAATGACTTTGGCCACAGACACATCTATTTAAACCACCCAAGCATTAAAATGATACTTTTTTATTAGGGATCTGTGATTATTATGGAAACTGTAACTGCTGTTATTTTGAGTGGTATTGTGACAATGATTTTTTTAAACTGTGATTAACAAAAAATTTACATTTTAGTCCTAGTGCACTTTGTGGAAATGAGTGTAATACTTCAAAGAGTTTTGAGGAGAACACTCAATGGATGTGTCAGAGCTCAGTGGATCTGCTTAAATCTACGAGATGCTAGACCAGTGGTTTGCAAAGTGGCCCTCAGGGCCCCCTAGATCAGGGGTGTCAAACTCTGTGGTCCAGAAAATGCCTGTTTTAATTTCATTTTAATGAACATTTTGCTATGACCCAAACTGGCCACTGTTTATTCAAAATATGCCAAAACTGCAACAGCAAAATAAAGGCACTTGTAGTTATTAAAATATTACATAAATACTTTAAGTATTAGAAAAAAACATTATATAGGCTTAAACCTCTTTAAATGTCCCCAGCTGGTAGGTTTTTAAAACCTGCCTTTTTGCTTGAACTAGACACCTGGCATCTTTTCATTTGGAGGAGGTCATATTATGTTGCAGTGCATGCTGGGGATTGTAGTTCAGTGCATTGTGAAATGGGCTAACATTATTAGAAAATTAAATACATTTTCGTGGGCCAGATAGGATTGTACCACGGGCCTGACATGGCCTGCTGGCCTTGTGTTTGACACATGGGCCCTAGATGTTCCATTTTTGTTTTTATATGTATCTCTGAGTTGGGAGTTCAGCATGAGGCCTGGTTGAGAACCACTGTGTCAGACCTCAGCTGCTAAGTCTCTTTACGAGATATAGTTGATTTTTTACTAAAACAAAATCGGCTTTTATGATTAACATTCTGCAGAAACAAAAATGATAATTCAGTATTTGATTCATTCTGAAGTTTGGCATTACTGCAAGACTGTACTGTACATCTAGGAGTCTTGGAGATTTTTTTACTGAATATGGATATGGGCTGAAATTGTACCCATGCACATATACAAATGTTCATTAACCTCACATTTTATCAGAGGTCTAGCAAAATGTATTTTGGAAATTTGTCAGCAGTCCATTTATTCATTGGACAAGTATTTTGTCATTGTCAAATGGAAACAAAGATGTAGTTCCAGAACAACTCTTTGGAAAGTAATAACACAATCATTCAGGAATGTTTTGATCATCTCAGCTCCAAGAGTTGTAAAATATATAGAAAAGTCAGCAGTTTATGTACAAGCAAAAACAAATGTGAGACTTGTCAAAATTATGTTTTCTTTGGGCAGTAATGATTTGAAACAGGTAAAAATGTGTGGGAATTTCTCAGCAAATCAACTGAACCTGCATCCGCTGCTGCAGAAGAGACACCCCATGCCTTAATGTAAAATATACTTATGTGACAGTAAAGGGTTCTTGTCACTCTGTACTGTATGTGTTTGTACTGAAACATGGAGAAACCTTTGTAAGTACCAAACATGTTGTACACTG